GCAAAAAATATCATCCAAAAAAAGTAACAGGAATAATCAGAGGAAAGCATGCAAAATATTCCACTTCAAGAATGCCCATCCTGATAGGAGACCATGGTAAATGAAGACCACATGAGAACAGGAAGAAGCAAAGTGCTAGAGAGGCCCACAGAAATCCACAAAGATACCCACACAACAGACTGCCGGCAATGGTCGAGAGACAGCCCGAACTGACCTACACTGGTGATGGGATGGCCAAACACCCTAATTGTTGTGCTAGAAACCTCATCCAACTACTGAGGGATCTGGATGCAGAGATCCATGACTAGGCCCTGGGTGGATCTCTGGGAGTCCAATTAACGAGAATGAGGAGGGTTTATATGAGCGAGAATTGTTGAGACCAAGGTTGGATAAAGCACAGGGACAAATAGCCAAATGAATGGAAACACATGAACTATGAACCAATGGCTGAGGGGTCCCCACTGGATCAGCCCCTCCGAATGGGTGAGACAGTTGATTGGCTTGATCTGTTTGGGAGGCATCCAGGCAGTGGGACCAGATCTTGTGCTCATTGCATGAGTTGGCTGTTTGAAACCTGGGGCCTATGCAGGATTGTTTGGCTCGGCCTGGGAGGAGGGGACTAGACCTACCTGGACTGAGTCTACCAGGTTGACCTCAGTCTGTGGGGAAGGCTTTGCCCTGGAGGAGATGAGAATGGGGGGGGGGGCGTTGGGGGGAAGGTGAGGGGGACGGGAGGGGGGAGAACAAGGGAATCCGTGACTGATATGTAGAACTGAATTGTATTGCAAAATAAATTAAAATAAATTAAAAAAAAAAAAAAAGAATGCCCATCCTGAAGATTGACAGGAAATTATTCCTAATGTCTTTCCTGACTTTGAACTCCACCACTTCAGCTTTCAAAAATTCGACCAACCATGGAAAAACAGAATACAGCTTGAATCAATAACCACACATATATTAGCAACTACATTGACAATTTCATTCTCCATTGGAACAAATAACCACAATGCTGTTCTGAGTAATTATTGCTAATCTGTGATACAAACTCAAAAATCCAAGCGATGTTGACCCAGAAGTCCGAAAGACTTTGTTCTCAGGGAAAATATCCATATTCCTACAGAGATTAATCAATGCCTGGGTTGTATTTCTATTTTCCTTGAGTATTCTACAGTAATTGTAACATGAAGAGCACACGGTGGAACACACGTGTATAGACCCAAATGCATCCTGGATGTTCCCTGCACTTCAAATAAGCCTGTTACTTACCATTTGGTAAATCCTCTGCCTGATGAGGGGCACAGCTTTTAGCTTTTAAATCAGCTATTACCATGAAAGCCTTTTCCCTCACAGCTTCTAACAATCCAACTCACTGCCTATTAGGGGTTGTTTCAGTTATTTTTGATATTCTGTGGAGAGTGTGAGGTACCCTTTCCTGCTTAGAGGGGAAATTTCCCCTCTTTGAACCTGAAATGCTTTCAAAGAGGAGAGAGATTGCCTTTCAAGAGTTAGAAAGCTGTCCTCCTCTTAAGAGCCGTGACGATCTCCAAAGGCTCCTAATGCAGAGAAAAGCATTAGCCACTTACATTTCTGCCTTAATGAGTACCGCGCTCATAGCTAGCCAACGGTAAATGTCACAAACTTAGGAATTATTTATCTCAGTGTGAAAAAAGTCAATCTGGTATCCACACTGTCCTCTTATCTCCGCTGATCCTGTGCAACACACATATGAGATATACATATCTCTTCTTATTATTCTCAAGGTTAACACAAATCACACCTGTATTTCTGCTGAAGAATTTGTCACTTAAGAGTAGGGGACAATTACAAGCAAGACGGTAGAATAGGACATTCCTAGCTCTTATTTTCTCCCATAGAAACAATCTGGTAACAATTAAGAATTGAGTCTGAAGTGTTCCCCTCAGACTCATGTGGCTGGTGGTGTCATAAGACCAGGCTGGAGGGAATGGGTCACTGCGGCATGTCCTTTGTCCTAGTTAGTTACTATTCCTGTGGTGAGACGCCATAACCAAAGCAAGTTGAGGGGGGTTTATTTGGCTTACACTTCCACATCACTGTTCATCATCTAAAGAACTCAGGACAGGAACTCAAACAGGGCAGGCACCTGGGGGCAGGAGCGAATGCAGAGGCCATGGAGGGGTGCTGCGTACTGGCTTGCTCCTTGTAGCTTGCTCAGCCTGCTTTCTTATACAACTCAGGGCCACCAGTCCAGGGGTGGCACCACCCACAATGGGCTACCCGCCCCCCTGCCCCCGTCACTCACTAATACAAAAAAAAAAAAAAAATGCTCCACAGACTTGCCTGTAGCCTGATCTTACGGAGGTGTTTTCTCAATTTTCTCCCTCCTTTCAGAAAACTAGCCTTGTAGGTCATGGCTGGATCCACTTCCGGGCCTGTTCCCTGCTTCCTGGTGTGTGGGCCACCACTGCTGCTTACCGCTGAGAACCGCACCGCTCCTGCTGCTGTTCCCTCCCACCGCCATGAGCCAGATGCCCTGAAGCAGTGACTGGGATAAGCTCCTTGTCCCTGCAGCATGTGTCAATGGGTCAAGACTAGTAAGTGAAATGTCTCTGGTTTGAGGTTCAGGGGACACTGAGGAGGACCGTCCTTTTGATGAGAGGTTCACTGGAAGAATTATTAGCACCATGGGCTTGCAAAGAGACAGACAATGTGGCAGGGGATCTAAAAAGGGGAGTGTTTTGCTTTGCTTCTCTGCTGCTGTGATAAGCACCATGACAAAACAACTTAGGGAGGAAAGGGTGGATCTGGCTGACAGGCTAGAGTCTACCGCCTTGGAGAATGAGACACGATCCTAGAGGCAAGACCCAAAGCAGAAGCCGTGGAGGAACACCACTGATTGGCTTGCTCCCGTGGCCTGCTCAGCCTGCTTTCTTATATAGCCCAGGACCACCTGCCCAGGGTGGCACCACCCACAGCAGGCTGGGCCCTCCTACATCAATCGTTAATAAAGAAAATGCTCCAATTCTGATAGAGGCGTTTTCTCAATTAAGGTTCCCTCTCCCCGGGCTGAGTTGACAGAAAAGTAACGGGCACCGAGGGTTCTGGCCCATGGTGCAGAGTAGCGGTCCCTTCTTATAGGTGTCAGAGGAAGGGAGAGGTCTGGTGGTTGATGAGTTGGCCACAGCAGGGGCCACAGCCGGGCTGCCCTTGATTCCTGGTGGGAAGGAGAGGGGAGAGAATTTCTTGGAAGGAACGTGTGACTCAGAGGCTATGGAGGAGGAGGAGCACATCAAGTTAAGGTGTACGCATCATACCAGTGGAGGATGTGCTGGAAAGTGCTGGAACCCAATCGTCCCCGGTGGCCCAGAGCCTAGCAACTTGAGATCTGTAAACTTCCTTGGGGACGAAAGAGTGGCCTGGGCCATTCTCCTGGAGTCTGTCTGGGGAGTCTGGAATCAGTCTAGGGGCTAGAGAGTCACAGACAGGCTCGGCTAAAGGAAGAAAGAGGCTTCTTCAGGTGGACATGGCCGCTGCCTCTAACCCAGCACTTGAGAAGGTAAAGACAGAGCAAGCTGAGGTGCTAGCCTAGCAGAATTGGTGAGCTCCAGGTGCAGTGTGAGGCCCTACCTCAATAAAGTGAGGAGCTATCCAGGAAGACACCGAATGTCAACTTTGGTCACAGACACAAGGGCCCGGGGGGGGGGGGGGGGGGGGGGGAGATACCCACATGCACATCATTCATACAGGAAGGAAGGAGGGAGAGAGGGAGGCCCAATAACAAAATGGCACTGATGTTGAGCTGTAGCGCCCTCTAGCTTCCACAAGTGGGATGGCAATAGGGTGATGGAGAGTTACCTGCTTGGAAGGGACTGGAAGTCAAGCTCTGACCCAGAAAGGTACAAGACAGAGCTCAAAACAAATTTGATGTGTCCTGTTCTTTTACCCACTGTGTGCCTATCATTCCTTTGAGGGTGTCACTCAACCTACAGTCACTGGGCTCTACACAGGTCCACATCTGTTCACATCTAGCCACAGGCTAGAGTCTACATTTCACGGTGCTGCCAATGTTTTCCAGGTTTGCCCATACAGAGTGACCCATTAGGACTTTCCCCTGATATTCCCAGCCTTGGACATGATGATGAAGGCCAGGAGAATGAAAATTGGCAAGATATGCCCTGGCTTCCTAGTTCCTCTGCATGCTGGAAGGGCTCAGGGGTCTGTCCCCACCCCCACCCCACCCACTGCCACTGAAGACTTATCACAGCTGGTGATGGGCAGTTCTCAGCCATCTCTGGTCAGAGCTGGCAGCTGTGGCGGAGTCTCTGCTGGACTTCTCTGGCCCCTTGTTCTAGGAGGTCTCACCTAACTCTAGCAACATGTTCATAGTTAGCATCACCCTAGCAGCTGCCTGCTGGGGTCTGAGCCCGGCTCCTGACATTGGCATTGCCAGCACAGTACCAAGGGGCTTAGGGCCTGCTCTCTGCTTCATTAATTCACTGCCACCTTGAAACCCACTACGTTCCTTTATCTTCAGCGATCACCTGTCACACTTCTCCCTGGAGACTTCATGCAAACAGGACTCCTGTCCCCGGCATCTGTACCCCTATCCAAGCCCTTGCCAGTCCATAGCTCTGAACACTGTGTCACAGATGGAAACATGAAGAGTCTTGGAAAACTAAAGATGATCGTTCTCTTGAAGGTTCTGGAAGCTGTGAAGTAAAGCCCCTGGGCCTCTTATCATCTCTGTTGCCATGGCACCACAGCTGCCAAACTTGAGGGAAGCCAGCATGTGGGTAAACCTCGGCAGACAATGACCAAGCAGACACTTGCCTTGAGAAAGAGTCTTTATTTAGTTTGCCTCGTCGTGAGGACAGACTAAGGTTGACACTACAGGTTGAAAAAGTCAGCTACAAAAACGTGAAAAGGAAAACTATCTAGAGAAAACATTATTGTTCCAATGTTTGGCTCAAGGTTGTGTGGGGTTATAGACAGGGATCTCGTTTTCCTATGACATTCCTCCCAGCCTTCAGCCGGTAGACCCTGGGAAAACTTGGCCCACACCTTTCTTCTCTGCCATCTCATCATACTTTGCCACGCATGCATTTGTGCTAAGGGAAATCTAGCCACGGTGTATCCAGTTGCCGAACCTCACGCGCTCATGTCTTCCATCTTTTCTGGGAATCTATGCACGTGGAGCCAATGTCTGGGTGTGCTTTGCTTCACATCTTAGTGCTCGGAGGTTGGCCATGGGCAATGCGTGTCCTCCTTCCAAGTGTGAAAGCTGCCACAGCTAGGACCACTGCCAGGAAGATTCCACCAAAGATGGCAGCAGTAGGGTAGACTGCCTGGGAGCTAGCGGGAGCTGGTTTCTCCACATCCTTCACTGCCAAGTCTGAGGAAAAACAGAGAGTGCGATGATGGCGTGGGATAGGACACAGGCCAGAGAATGGCAGAGGAGACAAGGAACTGGTTGGTCCTTGTCAGAACCTTTCAGAGGGGGAGGGATAAGGAAATGAGAGAAGAGGAAACTGAGGCTAGCTTCTAGGAGGCAAGAGAGATTTACTTCCCATTGTCTTACCAGCTAGGGGAGTTAGGGAAGGGTCTTAGCAGTGACTCAGACCTGGGCTTTGGGAGAATGAATCTGGATTGGGTCTGTAGATGAGTGTGAGGGGAGAGGGTTGTGGCATTTAAGCCAGTTGGGAAATGGTGACAAGAGTCCCAGGCAAAAGGAATCCAGGACCTGAGCTACTGTAATGACTGCAGGATAAAGGGAAAACAGATACTGGGCAGCACCTGCCTCTTGCTTTTCCCACTGTCCTGTTCAACATAGTCCCACCCCAGCGGAGGCACCAGATTCGCACAAGCTCTGCTCTGACGATACCCGTCTGTTTGCCTCCTGCCATGCAATAGGCCTATGGTAAACACTGAATGAATGAATGAATGAGGAAAGAGTGTAGAATCAGCTTGGCGTAGGAACCGGCCTACTGTGGGACATGAGGACAGGAAGCTATCACAGATGGTTCCCAGAAGGTGACAGTGATGCCCTGATCTAGGGGTAGGTTTGTGACAATATAACAAACCCATTTCTGCCTCTGTCGCCCTGGCTATTATATCTCCCTACCTGACACCAGCCCTCGCCAGAAGTCCTAGGAGTCCCACTGTGGACATTTCTAGTCAATACCCACAGCAAAACAACGTAACAGAAATCACACCTACCACCTGGTCTAGGTGGGGAGTAAAATGGCCCATTTAGTGCCAGTCCCCCCAGACGTCAAAATCAATTCACGTTTCCTGTGTTTCCATGCCCCACCCAGCTGGTGAATTCAAAACACCTGTTACCACCGTGATGAGGAGCAATACTCCCATTAATTATGTTAATAACAGAAACTATAGTACATTCATCAAACACCCAGTGACTTGCACCAGACAAGGACCAAAGTATTTTAAGGAACATTGCTTTAGCAAGACCTCTTAACAGTCTGAAGAGACATTAGCTCTCTCACCTTATAGATAAGGATTCTGGGATCTCCAAACCCAGAGAATCGAGCCTTCCAGGTCACAACTCTCTTGCCTACGACCTACATGTGACCTTGAGTCTCGGGGGAAGGCAGCAACCAGGCCTAATTCATTGACTGGTGTGCAGTTTGTGTTGACCCATAGCACAGACAAAAGCATCCCAAACCGACCGGAATCATGGACCCCACTGGAAAGTAGGATCTGAGGGTAACCACCTACCCAGGCTGCTCCTGTCTTTGCTGGGGGATTGCAACTGGATGGGTCCCAGGACAACGTCCACCTTTTCTTGATAGGAGCCTGTATCCCTCTTGGACCTCACCACACAGCCCCGGTAGCACCGGGAAGAGGCATCGTATGCTCTGCACACCACCAGTTTACACTGCAGGTACACTGAGGGGAAGCGGTTCAGGAAGTGGAAGGAACTGAATTTGAAGCGGGTAATGCGTGGTGACGGCGAGGAGTAGAGTCGGTAGGTTTCATCTCTTACACATCTGGGAGAAAGGAGAGGAACCGGTTAGCTTTCTGGAGCCTGGTCTCATCTGACTACCCCTGCACTCTGCAGTCATCCTGGCTGCCTGGGCCTTCAGTGCCACCACACACTCGTTGTGGGGTGTGCACATAAGTCCCTGCAGCCCCAGTACCTCGCCAGTGTGTTGACACAGCAAATCACCTGCCGTGACAAGCTCAGTGTGCTTGGATAACGAGAGTGGGGGGGCTCAAGTTTGGAATCCAAGAGCAAGCCAGAGGCAGGACAAGAAAGGAGATGGCCTCGTCTTCCCTTTCCTGGTCACTGGGCCTCAAAAGATGACAATCAAATGTAGGCTGAACATCTTCCACGCTCCCTGACCCTTGTCTGCTAGGGCCCCTCTGCTGACCCCCTCCCCCCACCAGGCCTGGCCTGCCCCTGTGCAACTACATGGCCATGTTGGCAAGTTCTCTCTAGGACCCTACTCCAGTACCCAGCACTTCCTCTCCCCTGGGGCACCTTGTCTCTGCTGGTGATAGACGGAAAATAGCGGCCAATCTTAAGGAATTCCACTGAGAAGTGCCATGCCCACCGGCAGAGATTACCCAGTGGGGGCTGGACTTCCCCAGCCTGTCAGGCCTCCTCCAAGAGTACAGAAGCATCACACTTCCTCCTCCAGGCAAGCTGGAGCAGAGATCAGGGCAGCCAACCTGGTCTCCATTGATTCAACCTCAGCATGGAGCCAGGGTGGAGAACTTGCTTTCCTGGTAGATGGCTAAGCTGTGTTCTCAGGGTCCATCATCCTTTTTCATTTAACTTTCCCAATATCTAATCCCTGCCCCTATCTCCAGCTGGCTTGTGGTGCAGAAACTGACCCAGAGATGTGTGTACTTTAGTTTGGGTCTGCTCTCAAATCAATGCGTTTCCCACAGCATGTTCATGTTTTTAACCATAAGGCTAGAGTTTGGTGACCAGAGATTTAACCCCAGTTTATAGCCAACCAGTTGAGTGACCATTGGTGAGTCACTCCTCTCTTCCCATAGGACATGGTGCCTAATAACCTGTCCCCTTAATCAGGAATGTGACCCAGGACACAGCATGAGGGCTCCTCAAAAGGCAAAAGTCCCGTGTAGAAAACTATCTAAGCTTGAACCCCTGGCAGGTTCAGCTAGCAAAAACTCTGCATTCCCTGAGCTTTATGGCTACTCATGTGTGAGTTATAAGGCAAAATTTTGCATCTGTCCCATACACAAGTCCTTACCCACTCCGGATGAGATCATATGTCAAAGATGAGAAGTCATTGGGGTATGGTGAAGCCACACAGGTGTCCACAAACAAGGCCAAAGAGGCATCAGAATGGAGAATTTCAGCCTGAAGGTACAAGTTTTGGTCCAGATCCACGTAGTATGGGCTGCTGGTCACTGGATACAAGAAGGAGGAGGATGTATAAAAGGAAACGTTCACATCAAAATTGCCATACTGGACTTCTTGGATCTCGACGGTGTTGTTGGTGATGTACACAGTATTGATCCAGGTGTTCTGAAGCATCTTGCAACTGACATGGATGTGGAGGTCCTTTTTCCTTTTGATGATGCCGTTCGAAACAGCTGCTTTGAGGAAGTTGGAGTAGTTGATGGTCTCATTGTCAGTCTAACAGAGGAAAGCAGATCAGATCGGGTCAGTGCTGGTTTGGGTTAGAATGAGCAGGAAATGACTCAGGGAGATACTCACAGAATCTTAGAGAGGTGCCACCTGTCTGCCTTGTGGCTGCTGTTACCTAGGATGGATATCAGCTTTACCAGCCAAAATGTCTCCCACTCTCCCACATTCTCTGGCACATGGTGATGCAGGCCCTGATAATCTGTACTTATGGCTCTTGCTTGTGGCAAAACGAAGATGTCTTGATGGCCCTCAGCCTGCAGAGTGTCTGACCAAGCTCAGACTCCATGGTTCAGGACTCAGAGCAGGATGTTCTGAGCCTATTCTCACTGTCACTGGGGGCAATAGGTCTCATACTCATGAGAGGGTCCTGGTAATATCAGTGTAGAATGCTTTCTATTTTGAGTGACTGATGACTTCTTCAGTGTGGTGATTGGCACAGTGGAAGCCAGAAGCCATGAGATCCGCACTTATAACTGAAGCAGGCCTTGACCCCTGAAGCTGAGACTTCCCCAGAGCCTCAGGTGAACAACTGAATGCGTTTATGGCAACCCTGACGCCATTCCTGCCTCAACTCAATTTACTATGGAACTATTCACTTTCACTGAGTAGCAAACTCATAAGGAGGCTGTTGCCTTGTGCCATTGAATGTGTCTACCATCTCTGAGAGCTGCCATGCCGGGAGCCTTACGCCTGGGGCCTGTGAGCATCTTAAGGAAAGAGTGATGTCTAAACACGTCTCTCTCGTTTTCTTGGTATAGCAACAGCATCAGTAGCATCTGTAAGTGTCTATGAAGCAACTGAAAAGAATGAAGCCAGTGGCCCAGAAGTACTTAGATAGGCAGAGGGTGTGGCAAGGAGCCAATGGCCAATGGCCAAGAGGACACACGTGAACACCCAGAAGCACCATTTTGGTGACTGTCTGGTTCCAAGGAAGGAAAGCACAAGTACGCTATCACCAGGCTGGGGCTGTGAGGCTCTTCACAGCCTGCGTGCTATGATGCACTTCTCCCAATCCCATGTCATGAGCCCTGCATGCCATATGGGCAGGAGAATAATACCATAGTGACATGGACAGTGTCACTGTACTTTTCATAGTGGATAAAAAGGCAGGGCAGGACAGAGCAGAGACAGACAGACACACACACACACACACACACACACACACACACACACAGAGAGAGAGAGAGAGACAGAGACAGAGAAAGCAAGCTTTCCACTATAGTCATGTGAACTGTGAAGGGTGAACCCCTAACTGATTGGGACCTGGATAAGGTCCCCTGTGTTCCCAGCACTTATACAGCTTACATATAATTATTTTTTCAGAATCTAGAGCCTTCCCCTTCTCGTCTGTTGTTGAGAACTCTGCTCTGCATGCGAGCCTTCCAGAAACACTGAACATGAGACAAAAGCTTTGGGATTGTAACACGAATCTTAAAAGGTCTTATTAATAAAAACAAACCCGGAGCCAGGTATTGGGGTGAATAATGGAAGATCAGAGAGACAGAACAGGCCACAGCTAACCTCACCTCACCAATTCCTCAGCTGATCTCGTTTCCTCAGACTGGAAGCCTCTGTGTCCTCATCCGAATGGATCTCAACTGAACTGCTGCTCAAAAGCCTAAAAGCTTAAAACGATTCTAGTTCCTGGTCCTCACGTCTTCTATACTTTTCTGCTTCCTGCCATCACTTCCTGGGATTAAAGGCGTGTGTCACCATGCCTGGCTGTTTCCAGTGTGGCTTTGAACTCACAGAGATCCAGACAGGATCCCAAGTGATAGGATTAAAGGCGTGAGTGCCGCCATTTTCTGGCCTCTGTATCTAGTGGCTGTTCTGTTCTCTGATCCCAGATAAGTTTGCTAGTGTTCACAATATATTGGGGAACACAGTATCACCACATTGGAGAATCTCTTTGACCCTTTCCTTATCTTTTCTAGTCTTGTCTCTCCCTCCTCAGACTGACCAGAGCCTAGGGCAGGGCCAGCCTGGTCAACAGAGGCATCATATCCTGCTGTGCTCCAGACCCAGGTCTAGGGAAGAACCTGTAGAAAGGACTCGGCAGTACACTGGCCTCCTCAATGTCCTAGCAATGTGTCTGACAGCTGTTTGCTGTTATAGAACTCAGGAAAGACGGTGCATTTGGATCTTTGATTCAGGGGGCTTCTGCTTCTTTCTCCCACCCCAAATGAAACTGTAGATGCCCCAGACTCTGTAAAATCCAGAGCTTCTCCTGGGAGCTGTGTGAATGGAGTTCTGCTGGCTGGTCTCTCTGTTGGACACAGCCGTGGAAACTGCCGGGCCTCCCCCTCTATGCCTGCCCATCCCTCCTATATGGAAGTAACTGTGGCTAGCATACCAGAGGCTCCTGCCTCCCTTCACATGAATTACATTCTGATGACATCACAGCCATACCTCCTGGACCCCCGGGGTTCTAGAGGCAGCACATATGTCACCGTGCTACAGCACGCTCGGGGCTGGGGAGACGGCTCAGTGGGCAAAGAAACTTGTTGCCAAACATAACAAGCTGCGTCCTATTCCCAGGACTCAATGTGGCAGAAGAAAGGAACCAACTCCCATAAGTTGTCTTTGACCTCCACATGCAGGCAGTGGCACACTCACACACACACACACACACACACACACACACACACACACACACACACACCACACACATAAACATACACACATACATACAACACACACACACACACACACACACACACACACACACACACACACACACACACACTAAATTTTTTAAAAAAGAAAGCATGCTCACTAGAGTGGGCCGTGCCAGGCTTACCTGTTTGGTAGTGCCACAGCCTGTGTAGGGAATTGTGAACATGACCTGCCTCTGTGTTATCTGGGGCTGACACTGGTAACTTGCATTCCAACCAGGAATGACAAGATCCCTGGCAGAATAGCCCATGGACTGAAGGTAGTCCCTGCTCACACTGGCTTGCATGTGATTTGACAAACAAAGGAGACCTGGAGGACAAGAGCAGAGGGTGCACTGAGTCAGGATTCCAAACCCCACAACCCTTGGGAGGGTCTTTTCCCAGGTAAAGATACACAGATCAAGATACCTAATGCACATGGTCCACACATGAGATGCATGCTCACAACAAAGTCACTATGGCCCCAAGAATACCCTATGGCTAACAGCCTTATCCTCAAGAAAGCCCAATGAGGGCTCTTGCATGTGTAGGATTTTCTGGTATGGAACTGGAGACAGGATTTTAAATATCCAAAGCATTTTGTCAAGTTAGCATTTTCCCATGAAGTAAAACAATTGTACAATAAGATAGTAGTGATGTTACTAGGTAAGGTCCTTTAGCTAAGGAGAAAGTGTATGCCTCTGATCCTGGCTGAGTAAGAGACCTTGGTTATCACTGTGCTCAAGCAATGTAGACATGCGTTCATATAGCATCTCAGATTGGGGTCATAAAGCCTCTGTTAGAGTAGCTGCCCATATTAAGGTGTCCATCTCTATCCATCTTCAGACAGAAATCAAATGTGTCAGGTCTCAGGACATGGCCAGTGACTCACCCTCTGGGAGGGTCACAGAGTTTCAAGCCTGGTGTCACCCACAACTCCTTCTGGCATTGTCTTCTCACTAACAGTTGAGACCAGCATCTTATACCTTCTTATTCTTTGCCGTCACACTCAGGCCAGTATAACTCTCATCAGCCAGTGCTGGCCCTTGACCCTCTTTTGGATGTCCAGAAGATGTCCCAAGTCTTGGATGCCCCAAGACTTACTGCACACACCCTCTCTCAATTGGCAATAGAGGAAATCCATCATAGGGACTACGGTTGGAGTATTCTAATTTTTTAGGTTACAGTCCCAGCACAATACAGGAGCAGAAGGCCCTCAGTGATGTCCCCAGTCCTAACAAGCCTTTGTTCTGACAAGGGAACTTACTGGTGATGTTATTGGCAAAGACTGAGTAGTACTGAGCCTGGAACCCTCTTCGGGTAACACTGTGATCAGTGATGAAGCGAACCGACAGGAAGTTGGATGTTGACGTGAAAGAGCCTATGGCCCCATCACAGACCCGAGCAATGAGAGGAGAACTGTGGTGGGGGCCATCGAAAATCTCAATATAATCGTAGCTGCAGCCCCCTTCAAGCCTGAAGAGACAAAACAAGCAGTTAAGTGTTATGGGATGTCTTTCTGTATGCTGTGACTATATGCTGTTCCCATTGGTTAGTAAATAAGCTGCTTTGGCCTTTGGCAAGGCAGCTTGGAGGCAGGTGGGAAATCCAAGGAGAGAGACAGGAAGGAGAAAGGCAGAGTCTGGAGAGAGACACCAGCACTGTTAGGAGAAGCAAGATGTGGAAGTACCGGTAAGCCACGGCCACGTGGCAACTGATAGATACACAGAAATGGGTTAAGTTATAAGAGATACCTAGCAAGAAGCCTGCCATAGGTCATACAGTTTTTAAATAGTATAAGCCTCTGAATGATTATTTTGTAAGCAGTTGGACTGCAGGACCACGGGACCGGGCAGGACCAGAGAAACCTTCCGGCTACAGTTAAGATCTCTACTGTCCAGACATGGATGAGAGCTCAGGGCTTATGGAAACTCTGACCAAGGTCATTATTTGAAAGAACAGATGACGTCTTTAAATCCAGGGAGAATTCATCTTGCCAAGGCCACCATGCCATGTCTTCATACTGCCATCTAAGGTCACATGTATAAGATCTATAGTCTCCCTTCCTGACAGTCCTTTAAATCAACAAAGGAAGGTCACCAGAGAACATCTTGATTTGTTCCTTCAAAGTGCTCCCAGGTCCCTTCCAGAATGGAACAAATATCAATGAATTCATAGTGATAGAGATGAATAATGAAAGAAAGAAACACTGAACCTCTCCAAGGCTCAGGTTTCTCATCTCCTAAGATGAACACTGTGCTCTATGCATACTGAAGAGTGTAGTGGTGATGTCCACATGGAGCTCTGCATGGGAAAAACAGAGTTCATAAAAGGTCACAAGCAGTGGACACTGTTGTTGGGGTGCTAGCGAATACGGGTATAGTTTCTTAGCCAGCTGGGCCACTCACTTCCCAGAATGAAACAAATATTAATGGGCTTTTGTAGACATCTTCTCTGCTCAAGAACAGTTTCATTCATAAGCATATGAGTGATAGAAACTCTCCATATGCATCAGTAATGCTAGCACCCTGGCTCCTGAGGACTTAGAAAGGAAGGGGCCGATGAGGAAAGGGCTGCACTGAACAGGTACATTTGTATATTGTGCCCCCAAGACTAGCATTGCCCAAGCCCAAACCCTCCCTCCCACTGCAAACATTTCCCAGTATTTGCACATTCTCTGATGACCTCCTGATCAACAAGATGAGAAAAGCAGGGATTCTGGCCCCTTCTCTAGCTGAGGCTTAGGAAAGTGGCATCCCATGGCCATGTAGCAAATTTAGGACAGTCCTGGGACTTTAAGTCAGAATATTTTCAACTTCCTGTGCCCTTGCTCCCATTCCACCACCCTCCATGGGCTGCTCTCCAAATCAAAACTGGAACCCTTATTTTAAATGTCCCATTGACTATAATCCCCTGGATTTCAAAGCACCCCAAATTTTCCCCCTAACGTCTGCTCTACACCCACACTTACTGCACATCTCTGAAGACCATAGTCACACGGTAGTTGTTTGGGACCTCAATGTTCCACACACATCTGGCATTGTTAGGGTAGTTCCTGGGGTAGAATGGACTGGAAAAGTTCCCAAAGGGTTGGGTCAGGAAACCTCCGCAGGTGTAGTTTACTGTCAGGCAAGAGAGGAAATGCTGGTGAAGCCCAGAACACAGCACACAGCTGCCTGACAGGAGGAGGAATGTGTGACACAATATCCAAGTTGGGAACCCAATAAAAGCCAGCCTAGCCCTGGCTCACTCACTGAAACCTAAGGGGTGTGTGTGTGTGTGTGTGTGTGTGTGTGTGTGTGTGTGTGTGAGAGAGAGAGAGAGAGAGAGAGAGAGAGAGAGAGAGAGAGAGAGAGAGAGAGAGAGAGAATATTCATTGGTAGTTGGGCATGTATACATAACTCAGATGTGTGTCTGGAGACAAGGTCTCTCATTGAACCTGGAGTTCACTGGTTAAGCTTGTAAACCCTTGCTTTCACTGACTGGCAGACAATGGTGGGGAGCAGGCCACTTGGACCTGTGCCAGGGCTCATGGACTCTGGATACAAAGAGATTCTTAGCCCCCATCTCGGGGTTTTTTTTTCCAAGGATGTTTGGCTTTTCTGGTGAGTAGTTGGATGTCTCTGATGGATGGAGACATAGAGAACAAGAAACATGGCTCTACAGCTCTTTTTACCTATCCTGTCTCATGGAGTCCAGGGCTGCAACCTTCTCGCAGAGACAGCATTATGATTTAGTAGAAAATGTCCACCAATAAGCTCATTACTAAAGACTTGGAGCCCGGCTCATGAATCCAGTCCTGTGATTGGATGCTGAGAGCTCTGAACAGATTTATAGATTAATCACTTGATCTAGTAATTAGGCAATGGGTCTGGTTGAGTAGAGTAGGCCACTGGGGGCATGCCCTAGAAAGATATACCTTAGACTAAGCTCTAGTGTCTCTCCCTCTACATATACCCTCTCTCTCTCTCTCTCTCTCTCTCTCTCTCTCTCTCTCTCTCTCTCTCTCTCTCTCTTCTCTCTCTCCCTCTCTCCATCTCTCTCTTTCCTCTCATCTTTGCTCTACCACAGGTTTCAAGTAAGGCCAGGAATATGCACCCCTCTCTCCGACCTGTTGGTTAGAGTACTATGGAGTGCTTTAGCTTAATCTAAAGTACGTACCATAGGAAGGAGTTGTTGTCGTCCACCAAACTAGAGAGGAAAGCAAAGCTGGGTTAGAGTGCGCAAGTATGAAGCAAGGGTGAAAATCACTGTAGCTGGGACATGGAATGCAGGGACCAGGGAGTCATTGCAGCTGGGAGAAAAGGACTCATGGAGAGCCAGCAATGCCCTATACCACGCTTGTGGATGCCCACCACAGGGAGAGTAAGGTGGCCCAGACCCTACTGGCAACTTTAATTCTCTCCTAAATGATGTCATGAGAAGTCTCAGTTGTCCCTCAATATACAATTCATGGGCAAGACAAAGCTCTGCCCAAGATAGATCCTAACAGCACCAGGAAAGACTGCTTAGTAATGCAGATTAATTACTGCAACTTTCTTATTCCACTGGGCCAGGCAGGGGGTCCTGTGAGCTCCTCAGAAGCTGCCTTTCTACTTTAAGGAGAATAGAAGGTTCTGGGACAGCAATAGTGCTGTAGGGTCCTGCCCATTCTGGAGCTACTGCCTGTTATCGTGAGCCGAGCTGAGAAAGATGGACACGTGAGACTTGAAGGACGATGGACTCACCTGGACTGGGAGTGGATGTCGCCTCGGGGACTGTGAAAATAAGAAGAAGCCATGTTAGATGCCCTGATCAGGAGGTGGCTAATCTGGAACCTGAGTGGATGACACTGGGCAGAATATGCATTAATCTGCTCATCCCCTGACTCAGAGTAGGAACTGGTAGCCATCTGTACTCCCAGGAAGATGTTCCTTGTGAGGGTCAATTAGTATTCTACTCTCTGGTCCTCCTCAAGGTGAGAAATGTGTCCGGAAGAGGTAATGGGCTGAACTTTGTATTTCATAGCTATCCAGTGATCCAGATGTTAAGTGGCCTTGTCCAGGTCAAATATTTACATGAGACCAGCTAGGCCTCAGGGCTAGGGTTGGGGGGTGGTGGGTTTCAGTGTGGAGTACAGGGCTAGGTTAGGGGTGGTGGGTGTCGGTGTGGAGTATAGGGCTAGGGTTAGGGGTGGTGGGTGTCGGTGTGGAGTACAGGGCTGGGTTAGGGGGTGGTGGGTGTCGGTGTGGGGTACAGGACTGAGTTAGGGGGTTGAGGGTGTTGGTGTGGAGTACACAGCTGGGTTAGGGGGTGGTGGGTGTCGGTGTGGGGTACAGGGCTGGGTTAGGGGGTGGTGGGTGTCGGTGTGGGGTACACAGCTGGGTTAGGGGGTGGGTGTTGGTGTGGGGTACAGGGCTGGGTTAGTTCTCCTCAAATGGACTTGAAGCACAGAAATGAAAAGCACAGAGATGTCATCATGGACACGGATGCTCCTCTCTTACCCTAAAAATACCTGTGCACAAACACACACTCACAGTCCTGGCCAATGGGCATCATTCAGAAAACCTTGTGAATGGTTGTGGACCGAGAACACTTTGAGCTGGAGAATATTCAATACCATAGTGTCTTCCTCACTCTCCAGACAGTGTCTCCCTCTCTCCCCACAGAACTGAACCATGAGAGAAGAAACACCGAAGCCAGTGTTTTTCTCCTGGATTCTTCTACCCAGTGAGGGGTTAAAATGACTGACATCCCTCAGGTTTGGGTCACCGGTGACAATTTCCATGGCAAGACGTATGAAAAGAGGAGAAACTCACTCCCAGTGAAGAATTAAGGCAACTTCAATAAATGAGAAAAACAAATCCATTGAGTAGTAAGACCCAAACATAAGAAGGCCTTTCATCTAGGAAGAAGACATTAGAGGTTCACCCAACTCACGTGAGCAGATGACTCCGGCATCTTCAGAATGGGCACAGTTATGGACAAGCCAGCCACGGTGACGACAGTACCACAGGTGAGACTCATACCCTGAGCAGGCCACATCATCTAGGAGTATGGGCCCTGAGCCCTGACCAAACGGAGCATTTCCTGGGGCAGACAGAGCCGGGCCACAGCCAACCTGTCTGCACACCACATTGGCATCATTGATGTCCCAGCTGTCGTCACACACGGTGCCCCAAGAGCCTCCGTACAGGATTTCCACTCGGCCCCGACAGCGGTTTCCTCCGTTGGCCAGCCTCAGCACCAACGAAGACTCATTTACTAAGGAAAAAAAAAGGCTTTAAGTAAACATTAAGTAAGTAAGCATTGAGTAAGTAACATCATAAAAGCAGTCAGATGTCCCCTGGACTCATGGAGAAAAGCCTTCCTTGAATCTTTGATTCCACCACTGGCAGATGATGGTGGATACCAGACAACTTGGACTGGTGGTGCAGAGTTTCTGCACCCTGGACACAAAGAGATTATCAGGCGTAATTAACACCTATCCCAAGGCTATTGGGGCTATTGGCTTCAATCTCTCTAGAGAACAGTGAAAATCTGGAGGAAGCACTGTGGACTCCACACCTATTTCTACCTGTTCTGGCTCACACAGTTCAGGGCCCCAGTCTTCCTGCAATGCCATGGTGTTATGAATGGAATGGGAAGTGTCTACCAATGGGCACTTATAAAAGACCAGAAGTCCCACTCAAGAGTCACACACCATGATAGGATCCTGAGGGCTCATCAAATCTGTTAACTGAACTGATTCTGCAATGGATTAAATAGGAGATGGATTTTGGGGAAGAGTAAATCACTGGCAATGTCACAGGAAAGACATGGCACCTTCCTAATTCCTTCCTTTCTTCTTGCCTCCCTGAGCTGTGCTGCACCACAGACTTCAAGAACATCCCAGAATTCTCTAACCTCTTGGTTGAAGAGTGTAAGGCATGCTTTGGTCCCATCCCACACTTACCATAGGAAGGATATGTTGTATTCCACCAATCTGGAGAGGAAAACAAAGCTGGATTAGAAGAAAGACTTGTGCATCAAGTTTGGACAAGTAGAAAATATTGTACAAATAAGCACTGTGGCAGAGAAAAAAGAAAGAAAGTCCTTTCCATGAGAGCATGTGGTGGCCCTGACCATGCTCACTCATGTCCATCAGACAATGGTGAGGTGACTGAAGGATGCAGGGCAACAATAACTATGTCCTGAGTGACAGTTGCATCCTAAAAGAACCAGGCCATCCATGCCTTAGGTATATGACAGGAACAGTCTCTGCTATCCCATGTCATTTGACCTTTACAAAAGATAGTGCTTTCAATACAAATAGCATAGGAAAAGACCACGAAGGCACATGATTTCAACAGAACAGCAAAGCATAGCAAAATGGATTAAGTGCTGCCACCGAGAAAAGCAGAAGGACACAATGGCTCAACAGAAGATACCATTGTCCTCTCTGTAGAGTGCTAAGGATACTGCGGGAGACAGAATCCTGAAGAGTCCCACCCATTCTGAAGCTGTTAAAGGTGACTGCAGGGAGAATAGGGACAGGTAGTAATATAGGCCATGAGGGAGATCTGGACTCACCAGGAATGGTCGGGAATGTCGATGGAAAAGCTGTGAGAAAGAGAAGCCATGTTAGAGGCCTTGAACGAAAGGTGCCTAGCCTGGCCCTGGGTTCATGACACAGAGCAGACCAGACACTGGGTTGTACTCATCTGCTGCCTCAGAGAACAGATTGCTAGTCATCTACATGGCCAGGAAGATGCTAACAATGGGGTCATTAGGAGCCCACACTCTGCTCCCACTTCAAGGGGAGACATGTGTCTGGATGTGTTGGCAGGCTGAATCCTGTGATTGGTATCCGTCCAGTGAGTCAGGGGTAACTAGTCAGGTCCAATTCTTACACTGGACCACTCGGTCCTCACAGGACAGCCCCACCCATGCTGGACATGAGGCAAAGAGCTGGAGGACCTTATAGTCAAGGACACAGACTTTACCCCAGTACCTTAAAGAACTGGACACAGACATACACCTTCACCAAAGCCCAATGAGGAAACTTGAATTTAGGATTCTCTGATGGGGAGCCAGAGACATGATTGTAAATAAGCAAAGTGTTTTGTCAATGAATCATTTTCCAACTGAAGTAAAGAACTCTACAGTCAAAGAGTGGCATTGTCATGAAATAGGGACTTGAGCTAAGGACAAAGTCAGTGTCTCTGACCCTCACTACATAAGTGACCTTGGACATCACATTCCTCAACCCTTCGCCACCAGACTCCTGGATCTACACAGCATCTCTAACTGGAACTCATAACCTCTGATAGAATGTTCTGTCCCTCTGTGTATGTCCTAATCTGTCCTTCTTCAGACAGAAGACAGATGTGCTAGTTCTCAGGACATGGACAGTGACACACACTTTGGAAGAGTCACAAAGCTCCAAACCAGCTGTCACCACCACTCCTGGAACTTCTCACCATCTGCTGAAAAATCAATTAGACGTTATATGTCTCTGGTGATGACACTGAAGCCAGTGTATCCCATCACCAGCCCTGGCCCTCAACCATATTTCTGGCAGCCAGATCCCCAAGACTCACTGGACACAGTCCCTCTCAACAGGAAGCAAGCATGGGACCCAGTAAGGCCATGCTATTGCTTATGTCCCAAACTCAGGAAAGCCGAGGATCAGAAGGCTCCTAGTGACATCCCCAAACACAAATGGACATCCATTCTCTCAGGGGAACTTACTGGTGGCAGGGACAAAGGTAGCGATGTAGTTAGCCTGGAACCCTCTCCTGGTGACACTGCCGTCAGTGATGAAGACTACGGACATGTAGTTCCGTGTTGAGGTGAAAGATCCATTGGCCCCATCACAAACCCGAGCAATGAGGGAGGAATTGTATTGAGGACCGTCAAAAAGCAGGATATAATCGTAGCTGCAGCCTCCTTCAAGCCTGGGGAGACAGAATAAACAGTAAGCTTCTCTGTGTCTGGAATTTGATGTGGAGTCTCACATCTCAGGGATCACCGTCCTGGTAACAGTGACAAAATATATCATCTGGAAGAATAGATGGCTTCCTGGAATCCTAAGGGAGTTTATCTATCTTCCCTAGACTGTCATGCCTGGTCTACATTGTTCCTGTGGGGGTTAACAAATGTGTAATCTATACCTCTCCATGACAGCCTTTTCATTCAACAATGGACGTCCCCTGAGAACATTCTAATTTGTTGCTTCAAGGAGTCCCCAGTTATTTTCAGGATAAAATAAATATCTCTGATAAATAAAAGAACGAGATATAAAACATGAGGTAGGAACTAGAGTGATGTCTCAGTTGTTGAGTTAGGTGGTTGCTCTTCTAGGAGACCAAGGTTTTATTCCCAGCATTTACAAAGGAGCTCACAATCATCAATAATTCTGTATCCAGGAGATTAGACACCTTCTTCTGACCTCTGTGGACATCAGGCAGGCATGCAGTACATAGACATACATACAGACAAAACGCTCACACACACAAAATAAATAATTATTACAAACAAAACCCATAAGACAAGTCAATGGACCTCTGTGGCCCTTGAGTTTCTCATCTACAATGATGAAAACTGCATTCCTGTCCACTGGAAAGGGCTGGGTGAGGCTGTGATGAAGCGGTGTGTATTATGTAGAAAATACATAATACACACCACTTCATAAAATGTTAGGAAATTTCAGTTCCTGTCAGTGAGGCACTGAAGAGAACCAGAATGAGGAGCCTTTGTGCCTAGGACGTAGTGAGCTAGAGGTGCAGTATTTATATTGTCCTACAAGGACATTGAAAAGATGCATATGTGGTACCGGAGCAGAGACTTCCAAGGCCACTACAAACAGTCACCCAGAGAGCACCTGGGAGCACAGATCAGTCAGTACGGGCTGGGACCCTCCACACCTCAGTGGAACTGCACTTTTATCTGGGCCCTGGTGACTCACAGAATGAGAGAGAGCTGTGAGGAAAGCTTTGCACTGAACAGGTGCCCTCATTAGCAGCACTGATCCATCATAGCCACAAGACCCTTATTACCTAAGCCCCAAACTGCCCCTCCCACTGAGCAACATTTCCAAGTCTTTGCACATTCTTTGGTGACTTTCTGATCAACAAGATGAGAAAAGCCCCCCTTTTTTTGACTGAGGTTCAGGAGAGTGGCATCCCATGGCCATGCAGCAAATTCAGGACAACCCTGGGTTTTAAGCCAGAATATTCTAAACTTCCTGTGCCCATGCACCCATTCCACCCTCCATGGGCTACTCACATCCCAAGCCAAAACAGGAACCTGTTTTTTATTTAAAGTCACCTTGACTATCACCTCCCTGAGTATCCAAGCACCCCTCATTCTCTCCAACATCTGCTCTGACCCACACTTACTGAACATCTCTGAAGGTCAGAGTCACATGGTTGTTGGTTGGGACCAAAATGTTCCACACACATCTAGCATTGTTGGGATAATTCCCAGGGTAGAATGGACTGGAAAAGTTCCCATAGTGCCAGTCCAGGAGACCTCCGCAGGTGTAGTTCACTGTAAGGAAAGAGTGGAAATGTCGATGAACCCCAGCACACAGCACACAGCTGCCTGACAGGAGGAGGAATGTGTGACACAATATCCAAGTGAGGAACCTAACAAGAGAGAGCCTAGCCCTGACCAATCCTGAGACAAAGAGGACATCTTCCTAGGTGGCTTTTCTTTGTGGGCGGAGGTGCAGGTTGGTTAATGGATGTGGGACAGGAATGGCAGTCTTGGGAAGTTCCATCAAAGCCACAGTGAAGTGTCCCCTAATACTTATGACTCCCCAGTTGCCATCTGATGGTGGTTATGAGATCAATTGGACCAGTGGTTCACATCTTCTGCACCCTGGATACAACGGGACCTTCAGGCACAATTGACATGTATTCCAAGGCTTATTTCAGGTGCATACGTGTTTGCCTTATGGGCTTCAATCTCTCTGGAGGAAGCACTGTGGACTAGACACCTATTTCTACCTGTTCTGGATCACAGAGTCCAGAGCCCCAGTCTTCCTGCAATGCCATGGTGTTATGAATGGAATGGAAGTGTCCACCAATGGGCTCACATTGAACATCTGGAGTCCCACTCATAGTCCAATGCCATGGTCAAATTTTAAGTGCATCATCAAATCTACTCATTATTATGGGATGTTTAAATAGGAGATGGACTTTGTAGACAGACTGGATCACTTGGTATGTGCACAGAAAATGCATGCAGTCTTCCTAATTCCTTTCTTCTCCTTGTTCTTCTGAGCTGTGCTGCACCACAGACTGCAAAAACATTCCAGAATCCCTGTCTCTCTCCAACCTATTGGTTGAACTGTAAAACCTATCCTTTGGTGTCATCCCACACTTACCAGGGGAAGGAGTTGTTGTATCCCACCAATCTGGAGAGAGAAACAAAGATGGATTAGAAAGAAAGCCTGTGCATCAAGTTTGGTCAAGTAGAAAACATTGCACAAATAAGCACTGTGGCAGAGAAAAAAAAGAGAGAGTCCTTTCCACGAGAGCATGTGGTGGCCCTGACCATGCTCACTCATGTCCATCAGAACAATGGTGAGGTGGCCCAGGGATGCAGGGCAACTATACCTTTGTCCTGAGTGACAATTGCATCCTAAAAGAACCAGGCCATCCATGCCTTAGGCATATGACAGGAACAGTCTCTGCTATCCCATGTCATTTGACCTTTGCAAAAGATAGTGCTTTCAATACAAATAGCATAGGAAAAGGCCTCCGAGGCACATGGTTTCACCAGGAAAGTGAAGCTCAGCAAACTGGACTAAGTCCTGCAACGTTCATGGCCTGAGACAAGCAGAAGGTGTCCTTGGCTCAACAGTCGTTACCACCCCACTTTACAGAGATGATGAAGGATCGATCTGGTGCAGACAAAACACTGAGGAGGCCGACCCATTGCTGAGCTGTTTCTGAGGCTGTGAGCAGAAGAGGGACGGGGGAAACACAAGTGTTGAGGGAGATCTGGACTCACCAGGAATGGTCGGGAATGTCGATGGAAAAGCTGTGAGAAAGAGAAGCCATGTCAGAGGCCTTGAACGAAAGGTGCCTAGCCTGGCCCTGGGTTCATGACACTGAGCAGACCAGACAGTGGGTTGTACTCATCTGCTGCCTCAGAGAACAGATTGCTAGTCATCTACATGGCCAGGAAGATGCTAACAATGGGGTCATTAGGAGCCCACACTCTGCTCCCACTTCAAGGGGAGACATGTGTCTGGATGTGTTGACAGGCTGAATCCTGTGAGTGGTATCGGTCCAGTGAGTCAGGGGTAACTAGTCAGGTCCAATTCTTACACTGGACCACTCGGTCCTCACAGGACAGCCCCACCCATGCTGGACATGAGGCACAGAGCTGGAGGACCTTATACTCAAGGACACAGACTCTACCCCAGTACCTTAAAGAACTGGACACAGACATACACCTTCACCAAAGCCCAATGAGGAAACTTGAATTTAGGATTCTCTGATGGGGAGCCAGAGACATGATTGTAAATAAGCAAAGTGTTTTGTCAATGAATCATTTTCCAACTGAAGTAAAGAACTCTATAGTCAAAGAGTAGCATTGTCATGAAATAGGGACTTGAGCTAAGGACAAAGTCAGTGTCTCTGACCCTCACTACATAAGTGACCTTGGACATCACATTCCTCAACCCTTCACCACCAGACTCCTGGATCTACACAGCATCTCTGATTGGAACTCATAACCTCTGATTGAATGTTCTGTCCCTCCGTGTATGTCCTAATCTGTCCTTCTTCAGACAGAAGACAGATGTGCTAGTTCTCAGGACATGGACAGTGACACACACTTTGGAAGAGTCACAAAGCTCCAAACCAGCTGTCACCACCACTCCTGGAACTTCTCACCATCTGCTGAAAAATCAATTAGACGTTATATGTCTCTGGTGATGACACTGAAGCCAGTGTATCCCATCACCAGCCCTGGCCCTCAACCATATTTCTGGCAGCCAGATCCCCAAGACTCACTGGACACAGTCCCTCTCAACAGGAAGCAAGCATGGGACCCAGTAAGGCCATGCTATTGCTTATGTCCCAAACTCAGGAAAGCCGAGGATCAGAAGGCTCCTAGTGACATCCCCAAACACAAATGGACATCCATTCTCTCAGGGGAACTTACTGGTGGCAGGGACAAAGGTAGCGATGTAGTTAGCCTGGAACCCTCTCCTGGTGACACTGCCGTCAGTGATGAAGACTACGGACATGTAGTTCCGTGTTGAGGTGAAAGATCCATTGGCCCCATCACAAACCCGAGCAATGAGGGAGGAATTGTATTGAGGACCATCAAAAAGCAGGATATAATCGTAGCTGCAGCCTCCTTCAAGCCTGGGGAGACAGAATAAACAGTAAGCTTCTCTGTGTCTGGAATTTGATGTGGAGTCTCACATCTCAGGGATCACCATCCTGGGAACAGTGACAAAATATATCATCTGGAAGAATAGATGGCTTCCTGGAATCCTAAGGGAGTTCATCTATCTTCCCTAGACTGTCATGCTTGGTCTACATTGTTCCTGTGGGAGTTAACAAATGTGTAATCTATACCTCTCCATGACAGCCTTTTCATTCAACAATGGATGTCCCCTGAGAACATTCTAATTTGTTGCTTCAAGGAGTCCCCAATTATTTTCAGGATAAAATAAATATCTCTGATAAATAAAAGAACGAGATATAAAACATGAGGTAGGAGCTAGAGTGATGTCTCAGTTGTTGAGTTAGGTGGTTGCTCTTCTAGGAGACCAAGGTTTTATTCCCAGCATATACAAAGGAGCTCACAATCATCAATAATTCTGTATCCAGGAGATTAGACACCTTCTTCTGACCTCTGTGGACATCAGGCAGGCATGCAGTACATAGACATACATACAGACAAAACGCTCACACACACAAAATAAATAATTATTACAAACAAAACCCATAAGACAAGTCAGTGGACCTCTGTGGCCCTTGAGTTTCTCATCTACAATGATGAACACTGCATTCCTGTCCACTGGAAAGGGCTGGGTGAGGCTGTGATGAAGCGGTGTGTATTATGTAGAAAATACATAATACACACCACTTCATAAAATGTTAGGGAATTTCAGTTCCTGTCAGTGAGGCACTGAAGAGAACCAGAATGAGGAGCCTTTGTGCCTAGGACGTAGTGAGCTAGAGGTGCAGTATTTATATTGTCCTACAAGGACATTGAAAAGATGCACATGTGGTACTGGAGCAGAGACTTCCAAGGCCACTACAAACAGTCACCCAGAGAGCACCTGGGAGCACAGATCAGTCAGTACGGGCTGGGACCCTCCACACCTCAGTGGAACTGCACTTTTATCTGGGCCCTGGTGACTCACAGAATGAGAGAGAGCTGTGAGGAAAGCTTTGCACTGAACAGGTGCCCTCATTAGCAGCACTGACCCATTGTACCCCCAAGACCCTTATTACCTGAGCCCCAAACTGCCCCTCCCACTGAGCAATATTTCCAAGTCTTTGCACATTCTCTGGAGACTTTCTGATCAACAAGATGAGAAAAGCCCCTCTTTTTTTTTGACTGAGGTTTAGGAGAGTGGCATCCCATGGCCATGCAGCAAATTCAGGACAACCCTGGGTTTTAAGCCAGAATATTCTAAACTTCCTGTGCCCATGCACCCATTCCACCCTCCATGGGCTACTCACATCCCAAGCCAAAACAGGAACCTGTTTTTTATTTAAAGTCACCTTGACTATCACCTCCCTGAGTATCCAAGCACCCCTCATTCTCTCCAACATCTGCTCTGACCCACACTTACTGCACATCTCTGAAGGTCAGAGTCACATGGTTGTTGGTTGGGACCAAAATGTTCCACACACATCTAGCATTGTTGGGATAATTCCCAGGGTAGAATGGACTGGAAAAGGTCCCATAGTGCCTGTCCAGGAGACCTCCGCAGGTGTAGTTCACTGTAAGGAAAGAGTGGAAATGTCGATGAACCCCAGCACACAGCACACAGCTGCCTGACAGGAGGAGGAATGTGTGACACAATATCCAAGTGAGGAACCTAACAAGAGAGAGCCTAGCCCTGACCAATCCTGAGACAAAGAGGACATCTTCCTAGGTGGCTTTTCTTTGTGGGCGGAGGTGCAGGTTGGTTAATGGATGTGGGACAGGAATGGCAGTCTTGGGAGGTTCGATCAAAGCCACAGTGAAGTGTCCCCTAATACTTATGACTCCCCAGTTGCCATCTGATGGTGGTTATGAGATCAATTGGACCAGTGGTTCACATCTTCTGCACCCTGGATACAAGGGGACCTTCAGGCACAACTGACATGTATTCCAAGGCTTATTTCAGGTGCAGACGTGTTTGCCTTATGGGCTTCAATCTCTCTGGAGGAAGCACTGTGGACTAGACACCTATTTCTACCTGTTCTGGATCACAGAGTCCAGAGCCCCAGTCTTCCTGCAATGCCGTGGTGTTATGAATGGAATGGAAGTGTCCACCAATGGGCTCACATTGAACATCTGGAGTCCCACTCATAGTCCAATGCCATGGTTAAATTTTAAGGGCATCATCAAATCTACTCATTAAATGGGATGTTTAAATAGGAGACGGACTTTGTGGACAGACTGGATCACTTGGTATGTGCACAGAAAATGCATGCAGTCTTTCTAATTCCTTTCTTCTCCTTGTTCTTCTGAGCTGTGCTGCACCACAGACTGCAAAAACATTCCAGAATCCCTGTCTCTCTCCAACCTATTGGTTGAACTGTAAAACCTATCCTTTGGTGTCATCCCACACTTACCAGGGGAAGGAGTTGTTGTATCCCACCAATCTGGAGAGAGAAACAAAGATGGATTAGAAAGAAAGCCTGTGCATCAAGTTTGATCAAGTAGAAAACATTGCACAAATAAGCACTGTGGCAGAAAAAAAAAAAAGAGAGTCCTTTCCACGAGAGCATGTGGTGGCCCTGACCATGCTCACACATGTCCATCAGAACAATGGTGAGGTGGCCCAGGGATGCAGGGCAACTATACCTTTGTCCTGAGTGACAATTGCATCCTAAAAGAACCAGGCCATCCATGCCTTAGGCATATGACAGGAACAGTCTCTGCTATCCCATGTCATTTGACCTTTCCAAAAGATAGTGCTTTCAATACAAATAGCATAGGAAAAGGCCTCCGAGGCACATGGTTTCACCAGGAGAGTGAAGCTCAGCAAACTGGACTAAGTCCTGCAACGTTCATGGCCTGAGACAAGCAGAAGGTGTCCTTGGCTCAACAGTCGTTACCACCCCACTTTACAGAGATGATGAAGGATCGATCTGGTGCAGACAAAACACTGAGGAGGCCGACCCATTGCTGAGCTGTTTCTGAGGCTGTGAGCAGAAGAGGGAAGAGGGAAACACAAGTGTTGAGGGAGATCTGGACTCACCAGGAATGGTCGGGAATGTCGATGGAAAAGCTGTGAGAAAGAGAAGCCATGTCAGAGGCCTTGAACGAAAGGTGCCTAGCCTGGCCCTGGGTTCATGACACAGAGCAGACCAGACACTGGGTTGTGCTCATCTGCTGCCTCAGAGAACAGATTGCTAGTCATCTATATGGCCAGGAAGATGCTAACAATGGGGTCATTAGGAGCCCACACTCTGCTCCCACTTCAAGGGGAGACATGTGTCTGGATGTGTTGACAGGCTGAATCCTGTGATTGGTATCCGTCCAGTGAGTCAGGGGTAACTAGTCAGGTCCAATTCTTACACTGGACCACTGGGTCCTCACAGGACAGCCCCACCCATGCTGTACATGAGGCAAAGAGCTGGAGGGCTTTATAGTCAAGGACACAGACTTTACCCCAGTACCTTAAAGAACTGGACACAGACATACACCTTCACCAAAGCCCAATGAGAAAACTTGAATTTAGGATTCTCTGATGGGGAGCCAGAGACATGATTGTAAATAAGCAAAGTGTTTTGTCAATGAATCATTTTCCAACTGAAGTAAAGAACTCTACAGTCAAAGAGTGGCATTGTCATGAAATAGGGACTTGAGCTAAGGACAAAGTCAGTGTCTCTGACCCTCACTACATAAGTGACCTTGGACATCACATTCCTCAACCCTTCACCACCAGACTCCTGGATCTACACAGCATCTCTGATTGGAACTCATAACCTCTGATTGAATGTTCTGTCCCTCCGTGTATGTCCTAATCTGTCCTTCTTCAGACAGAAGACAGATGTGCTAGTTCTCAGGACATGGACAGTGACACACACTTTGGAAGAGTCACAAAGCTCCAAACCAGCTGTCACCACCACTCCTGGAACTTCTCACCATCTGCTGAAAAATCAATTAGACGTTATATGTCTCTGGTGATGACACTGAAGCCAGTGTATCCCATCACCAGCCCTGGCCCTCAACCATATTTCTGGCAGCCAGATCCCCAAGACTCACTGGACACAGTCCCTCTCAACAGGAAGCAAGCATGGGACCCAGTAAGGCCATGCTATTGCTTATGCCCCAAACTCAGGAAAGCCGAGGATCAGAAGGCTCCTAGTGACATCCCCAAACACAAATGGACATCCATTCTCTCAGGGGAACTTACTGGTGGCAGGGACAAAGGTAGCGATGTAGTTAGCCTGGAACCCTCTCCTGGTGACACTGCCGTCAGTGATGAAGACTACGGACATGTAGTTCCGTGTTGAGGTGAAAGATCCATTGGCCCCATCACAAACCCGAGCAATGAGGGAGGAATTGTATTGAGGACCATCAAAAAGCAGGATATAATCATAGCTGCAGCCTCCTTCAAGCCTGGGGAGACAGAATAAACAGTAAGCTTCTCTGTGTCTGGAATTTGATGTGGAGTCTCACATCTCAGGGATCACCGTCCTGGGAACAGTGACAAAATATATCATCTGAAAGAATAGATGGCTTCCTGGAATCCTAAGGGAGTTCGTCTATCTTCCCTAGACTGTCATGCCTGGTCTACATTGTTCCTTTGGGGGTCACAGATGTGTAATCTATACCTCTCCACGACAGCCTTTTATGTAAACAAAGGAAGGTTACCTGAGAAAAATCTAACTTATTGCTTCAAGGTGTAACCACTTATCTTCAGGATAAAACAAGTCTCTGATAAATAAAAGAATGGGAGGAGAAAACATTGAAGACATGGCTCAGTTGTTAAGTTCACTGGTTGCTCTTCCAGGGGACTAAGTTAGATCCCCAGAACATACAAAGGAGCACACAACCATCAATCATTCCGTATCCAGGGCATTAAACACCTTCTGACCTCTACGGGCACCAGGGAAGCAAGCAGTTCAAACACATACATACAGACAAAACACTCAAACACATACAATAAATAAGTCATACAAAACAAAAATCACAAGACAAGTCATTGGACCTCTCTAACTTTCAAGTTTCTCATCTCCAGTAATGATCACTGCATTCCATGACTGCCAAAAAGGGCTGTGGGTGGTAAGGCCATGAGGAAGCAGTGTATATTAAGGGTGCCTTTGTGCCAAGGACCTGATCATCTACAGGTGCAGTATTTATATTGTCCTACAAGGACACTGATACCATGTTTGTGTGGTACTAGAACAGAGACTTCCAAGACAACTACCAAAGTCACCCAGAGAGGACCAGGGAACACAGCTCAGTCAGTACGGGCTGGGACCCTCCACACCTCAGTGGAACTGCACTTTTATCTGGGCCCTGGTGACTCACAGAATGAGAGAGAGCTGTGAGGAAAGCTTTGCACTGAACAGGTGCCCTCATTAGCAGCACTGATCCATCATAGCCACAAGACCCTTATTACCTAAGCCCCAAACTGCCCCTCCCACTGAGCAACATTTCCAAGTCTTTGCACATTCTCTGGTGACTTTCTGATCAACAAGATGAGAAAAGTCCCCCTTTTTTTGACTGAGGTTTAGGAGAGTGGCATCCCATGGCCATGCAGCAAATTCAGGACAACCCTGGGTTTTAAGCCAGAATATTCTAAACTTCCTGTGCCCATGCACCCATTCCACCCTCCATGGGCTACTCACATCCCAAGCCAAAACAGGAACCTGTTTTTTATTTAAAGTCACCTTGACTATCACCTCCCTGAGTATCCAAGCACCCCTCATTCTCTCCAACATCTGCTCTGACCCACACTTACTGCACATCTCTGAAGGTCAGAGTCACATGGTTGTTGGTTGGGACCAAAATGTTCCACACACATCTAGCATTGTTGGGATAATTCCCAGGGTAGAATGGACTGGAAAAGTTCCCATAGTGCCTGTCCAGGAGACCTCCGCAGGTGTAGTCTACAGGAAAGAGTGGAAATGTCGATGAACCCCAGCACACAGCACACAACTGCCTGACAGGAGGAGGAATGTGTGACACAATATCCAAGTGAGGAACCTAACAAGAGAGAGCCTAGCCCTGACCAATCCTGAGACACAGAGGACACCCTCCTAGGTGGCTTTTCTTTGTGGGGGGAGGTGCAGGTTGGTTAATGGATGTGGGACAGGAATGGCAGTCTTGGGAAGTTCCATCAAAGCCACAGTGAAGTATCCCCTAATACTTATGACTCCCCAGCTGCCATCTGTTGGTGAGTATGAGATCCCTTGGACCAGTGGTGCATAACTTCTGTACCCTGGATACAACAGGACTTTCAGGCACAATTGACATGTATTCCAAGGCTTATTTCAGGTGCATATGTATTTGCCTTATGGGCTTCAATCTCTCTGGAGGAAGCACTGTGGACTAGACACCTATTTCTACCTGTTCTGGATCACAGAGTCCAGAGCCCCAGTCTTCCTGCAATGCCATGGTGTTATGAATGGAATGGAAGTGTCCACCAATGGGCTCACATTGAACATCTGGAGTCCCACTCATAGTCCAATGCCATGGTTAAATTTTAAGTGCATCACCAAATCTACTCATTAAATGGGATGTTTAAATAGGAGATGGATTTTGTGGACAGAGTGGATCACTTGGTATGTGCACAGAAAATGCATGCAGTCTTCCTAATTCCTTTCTTCTCCTTGTTCTTCTGAGCTGTACTGCACCACAGACTGCAAAAACATTCCAGAATCCCTGTCTCTCTCCAACCTCTTGGTTGAAGTGTGAAACCTATGCTTTGGTCTCATCCCACACTTACCAGGGGAAGAAGTTGTTGTATCCCACCAATCTGGAGAGAGAAACAAATCTGGATTAGAAGAAAGGCCTGTGCATCAAAGTTGGGTCAAGACACCCTTGCTGGGAAGAGGAAAACATTGGACACAGAAGCACTGTGGCTGAGAAAAAGAAAGTCCTTTCCTTGAGATCCTGTGGTGGCCCTGACCATGCTCTCATGTGTCCACCAACTTACAGTGAGGTGGCTCTGGGCCCCAGGACAACTATAACTTTGTCCTGGATGACAGTTGCTTAGTTAAAGGATCATGCCATCTATACCATGGGCCTATGACAGGAATAGTCTCTGCTGTCACCATGTCCCATGACTCTTGATAAGACAATGCCTTCTAGACAGACCTTGCAGGAAAGGGCCTTCAGAGCAAATGATTTCACCAGGAAAATGAATTTCAGCAAAATGGATTAAGTGCTGCAATTTTGCTATGTCACTGAGACAAGCAGAGTGTGACATCGGCTCAAGAGAAGATACTGTTCTTAGTTCTTTTCTTTCTCCCCGTCCTTCTGAGCTGTGCTACACCACAGACTTCAAGAACATCCCAGAATTCCTGCCTCTTGCCAACCTCTTGATTGAAGTGTAAAAGCTCTGCTTTGGTCTCATCCCACACTTACCAGGGAAAGGAGTGGTTGTATCCCACCAATCTGGAGAGGGAAACAAGGATGGATTAGAAGGTGGGCCTGTGCATCAAAGTTTGTTTTAGAGACTTGTGCCAAGAAAAGAAAAACATCGGACACAAAAGCACATTGGCTGAGAAGAAGAGACTCCTTTCTGTGAGAGCGAGTAGTGACCTTGGACATGCTCTCTTGTGCCCGTCATTGCAGCAATGAGGTAGCCCAGGGTCCCAAGGCCACTGTAACATTCTCCTGCATGACAGTTGCTCAGTAAAAGAATCATGCCATCTATTCCTTGGGACCATGACAGGAACCGTCTCTACATCACATGGCTCTTGCAAAAGATAGTGCTTTCTAGAAAATAGCATAGGAAAGGTCCTCTATAGCAAAAGAGTTCAACAGAAAAGTGGAGTTTAGCAAAATCAAATAAGTGCTGCCACTCCGTTACCCCACTGAGACAAGGAGAAGGTGATATTTGGCTCAGCAGAAGCTGTCTTTACTTTATGGAGAATGCTGAAAGTTCTGGGACAGACAGAATACGGAAGAATCCCACCATTCTGTAATTGTTGGTTGTGGCTGTGAGCAAAATAAGCAAGCATCCTGACACCTGTCTCCTCCATTCACCAGCCTCACAGCCAAAGGAGACTCTGTTCCTGGAAAGACATGGTGGATTCTCCCTTGTTATTCCCGGGGGGATGATGGCGCTTGTGTGATCACGGGCAGCTCTGTCACGGGGTTTAATGCAATATAGGACGTGAGTTCTCCCATTGTTGCTCCTCGGGTACCCTGTCTTAGAAAGACCTTCACCCTGTCACTCTGACTTCACATCCTCATGGAATGTTCACTACCTGTGTTCTAGACATTAAAGATGTGTCTGTCACCAGGAGGGCTATGTGTCTGCAGGGTTGATATGGGTAGAATCTGCCCTGGATAGTGGCCAGACACCTACTCCATCTTGTAACTAAGGCCTTTGAGAGCCATGCACTCTTCTGGATGACAACATCCACTGCAGAATGTGGGCTGTTTCAAGGAAAGAGAGCAAGCAGAGTTCTCCAACGCCTAACACACAGACTGCACATGGGCACATCCACCGCACCCTGACCCTCACACACCAGCAGTAAGGACAAGAAGAGGAGGTTGCTTTATAACAGACCAAAGGGATAGAATGATGAGCTGGCAGAGAAAGAAGTCCATGGGTCCCTGGCAAAGCACTAGCTGCTCACCCAGACAAGGTGGAGAGTGTATATCAGAACTGCTTTTCAGGCCCACTAGAACAGTATTAAACATGAGTACAAGCTATTGTTCACACACTGAGCTGGGTCACATGACTGCCCCCATGAGCTCACCTTCTGTGTACAATAACAGCCCACTAGAGAACCCCGGGCTTTGTCAATGCTGGTCAGCAAGACTGATGATGTGAACTTATCACCAAAGTCAGGGTTTCAAGCAACCAACATGTTTAAACAAGACAAAGGTCCGCTCCAGTATTGGCCTGGACTAAGCCCCTTGTATTCTAGATAGGGCACCCCTTTGAAGTGACCCCATAATGGGATCCCATAATATAGCATCGGTCTCATTTTGCCACAGAAACCTCTCTGAAAGCTTGTCTTACCTTGATCCTCTAAGCCCAAACTTTATTCTGACATAACACTAAATTTAGAGACTATAGAATTTTGAAACCCACCCTCATGCTGACCGACTCCTCCTCACACAGGGAAATGGGCAGTGACAGGGGTCCCAGTAGAGGATAGCCTCCAAGATCAGGAGGCAATCCCACCTTCTCTAAGTTTTCAAAACACATGCCCACCACCCCACCCCCTTAACTGTCCCAAGAAAGTCACCACCATGAATGACACTGGCATTACAACCGACAGAGAGAGATTTATACAATATTTGTTACCTATTATTACAGTAGTCTCTGGAGTGGTGGTAGGCTCTGGAGTGGTCGGCTCTGCACGTTCATACATAGATGAGAGAGAGAAATGGAAAATATAAAGTTAAGTCTCCATTGAGAAAAGCCAAGACATGCAAGTACAGTTAAGTCTGCTGTCGGGATATGATTCGGGGTCTGTATTAGGTAATGCACACAACTATAGATCTTCCCTGTGGCCAGTCTTGGTTGCACCACCCATCATGCTGACACTGGACAGTAGGGTTCCTGTCCTGAGCAGTACACAGCTCCCAAGAGAATGTTCCCTGAGGCCTGACAGAGTGGGCCCCTCCAGGTGCCGATACAGAATGGACACAGTCCAGTTGCAGACAGATGACATCTTCATCCTGGGTGTTCCCCCTGTCATCACAGACTGTGCCAAGATAGCCTTGGTACAAGACCTCCACTCAGCCCTTACACTGGTCACTGCCATTCACCAGCCTCAAAGGCAAAGCTGCAGGTCCTGGCATGCTGTGCTCTCTACTAAGACCACCTGTGCCCTTTTTCCTCTGACCCCCAGTGCTGTCTTATTTGCCATTTCCCACCCTAGACCTTAAAAATGACCTTCTTCATAGTCTTCCCACTCCCCTGTACCTCAATTCTCTGACAACTTCCAGACAAGGGACCCTCAGGGTCACCTCTTCAGTCCTAATTCAGCCCTGACTGTCCCGGGGCAGAACTCTAGACTCAATTTCAATCAGCTTTCAGCATATCCATGTCTACCATCCAAACTCAGTCTCCCTCCTCCATCGGGATCCAGGATGCCACCCTGTGACACCCTGTGCCACCCTGTGACACCCTGTGACACCCTGTGCCAGTGTGCTGAGAATGTGGACATCAACTTTGATGTCTTCCTCCGCCTCTCTGCCCTGCTCTCATCTGTGTCCCTTGCTTGATCCTTGAGCTTCGTCTTGACAAAGTCACGTGTATTTCAGTCACTTCCCTGCCCTAAGGGCTTCAGCACAGGCCAGGAACAGTGGCACACAACTTTAAGTACTCAGTAGGCAAAACCAGGTAGATATCTGTAAGTTCAATTTCAACACGGTCTACATAAGGAGATGCAGTCCAGCCAGGGCTACATGGTGACACACGGTCACACACACTCACAAAGAGTGTTTGAGCATCCTCTCCATCCTCATCAGGATCAAGGATGCAATGGTATTTGTCTAACAGAAGTCTTCCCTCTACCACCCCAGCCTGCTCTCCCCGTGTAAGGACCAGCATGACTGAGGAATCTGCAGGCAGCATGCTTCTGCATGATGGGGTGCCCCTAAGTCACTCACAGTGGTACTCTGGGCTGCTTGTGGGAGGAAACAGACAGCAGGTGAGTGCTGTCAGGCCCTCAGGAAGGAACTGCTTTAGCATCCTGACAGCAGGAGCTGGATCCTGGGTGTGGCTTTGCTGTGGCTACTCTGTGGTTATGAGTACTCTGTGGTATGACAGCGGTACGTTGGAATAGATATAAGGTGAAGGATCAGATGTGTGCTGATGTTTGAGATCAAACAGGGGTGGGATGAGGATGGGCAAAGAACAACTGGGCATTCCAAGATATTCCCAAGAGCACTCTGAGTCTCATGAACCCATCTTGCTGCCCTCTGCTGGTCACTCTGTGAATGTCCCACTAGAGAACTGCCAGCCTCAGGTTGGCTCTCCCTAGAGGTTGATCAGAAAGCTTCCCCTGAGTCCCTGCCAGGACATTTCTCCATCTCTCAAAGAATGTACTGAAAGGGGAGGAATTGACTTTAGCATGCCAGGGTCACAGTGGCACAGTCAGTTGTCCTCTATGGCCTCACCTATCAAACTCAGACTCAAAAGTCTGCACACTCTCTGCCCTGATTGGGCAAAGTTAGTCCGATACAGGCAGTGATGGGTTCAAAGCCCACCTTCCCATAAACAGCCACAGAATCTTAGAGGCAAGTATTGACAAATTATCTAACTATGTCTTAACTTTCCCATCTGCAAAATGGCATTAATGACACTTATCTCAAAATGTTGGGAAGGTTTTATGATAACACATATTACCTGTATTAACTGAGCATTGATTATGTGCAATATATTTAACATTTGAAACATTTCTTTTATTTTGAATGATATGCATGGGCTTGTGTCTATGTGTGGGTATGTGCATATTAGTACAGGTGCCCATAGAGGCAAGGAGAGGGTGTCAGAACGCCTGGAGTTGGAGTTATAGGTGGTTATTAGCTGTCTAAACTGAGTGCTGAAAGCTGAACTCAGGTCTTCTGCAATCACAATGTGTGTTCTTAATGCCTGAGCCATCTCTCCAGCCTCTTCTTTCAATACTGATGCATTCATTTCACACATGAAAATGATTTGGCTGGGGGTACACAACAAGTTATCTAACTTTGATGATACTATTTACCTTTGCAAAGCCGGCTCAGATTGTACAGAGGAAGAAACAGTGACTGTTTCCACTAGCTTTTCTGACACTAGGCTAAAGTTAATTTCATCCATAGAGTGACTGGAGGGCAGAGAGAAGAAGGAAGGTGAGGGACAGGGATTGGTGGAGTGTGCCCGGCACCTTGACAACCACGTCTCTCATCTCGACTCCATCCCTGACTTCTGTGCCCAAAGCTGCACCTGGATTCCACCAGACAGCAGCAGCAGGGCTGCCCATCCGTCCTGGTGAGCTGCATTCTCACCTTGGCACAGCTGAGGCATTTGAAGGAGTCTCAATTGGGGATTTGATAAGATCGTGATTGCTTATGGCCATGTCTGTGGGAAATGGTCTTGATGGAGAACTGATTGGGAAAGGCCAGCCCACTGTCCTGGGCAGGGGAGTCTATGCTGTATAAAAATGTTAGCTAAGGATGAGCCAGAAAGCTAGCAAGCAGGGCTCCTGCATGTCCTCTGTATCAGTTCCTGCCTCCAGCTTCCTGCCTCCTGCTCCTGCAATGGCTTCACTGGATGATGGACTGTAACCTGTAAGCCAAATAAACCCTTCCCCCTCCAAATTGCATGTTGAAGAAAGCAAACTGGACCCCAAAACTGTAGCCTAAAGCCAGAGACCAAGAGCAAAGGACTGAGCATTAGTTGTAGCTTCTGGGATCCACCAACCTTATGAAAAATGAAACTCAATTTAGAAAGAATCCACTGTTTAGAAATGATCTCATAGGTTACAAAATTAGCTTCAACTGCATTGTACACTACTACTGGGATGGGGGGAGATGTGGTTCAGTCTTTTCTAAGTGCACAGAAGAAGGTGTTGATAAAAATGATTTTTTGCAAAAGGAGATAAAGCAAGTGGGTAGGAGATGAAGTTACATCATTTCAATATGATAAACAAGAGCTGGGCATGGTGACACTCTTGGAATCCCAGAATTCTGGAACTAGAGGTAAGAAGATCAGGAGTTCAAGTAGCCTTACCTACAAGCAAGTCTGAGAACAGCCTGGGCTACATAGGTCTTAAAATAAATAAATAAGCTGAAAAATTTACATATTTTATTGGTTTTTGAAGACTAAGAAAACTAATGGCACTTTCCCCTTGCTAATATTAAAGTCTTACTATTTGGGCCAAGGAGGAGTTTACTCAAAGTGTGCAGGAGGGCAGGTTATGCTCACATATCATCTGCCAGAGCACAGGTCCCTGAGCCACTCTGGGTCTCCATGAGTCAGAATCTTATGAGGGAAGGATGTGAATCCAAGACCCACACTCAGACATTCTATTTGATTCTGACACACAATAAAATTCCAGACAGGGGCACCATCCATGAAGACTGTGACTGACTGTGACCACATGAGACTTGATGCTCCAGCTGAGAGAAGCTTCTGTTGTAATTACATGTCCAGATGGGACACAGTTTGATCAGTGCAGCCTAGTATCATTCATATTCATTTAGTGAGGCAGTGGTTATTATGATATAGAGGGACACTATAAAATGATAGAGGTCCATCTATTCAAAGTACTTACCAGGTGTGGAATAGCTTGCTTGAGAAGCTGTAAGGAAAAAAAAACAAATTCAGATTGTGTGTTTCACCCACAGGAATCCTGGAAAACCCCTACCTGGGAAGCAATAGCCCTGACTCTTATGCATTGATCAACCAGGAACACCCGAGGTCAAGTTCACCAGCCCCTGAACAGAAAGCGTCCTCACTCTGCTATGTGGGCTTGCCCAAAGCCAAAAATCTAGCATTGAGCTTCCATTTTCACTGGTCAAAAGAGCATAACAGTTTTTATAATACCAATCGGCACTCTGTGTCCATGGCATCCTTCACTGATTACACAGGTGTTGGATCAAAAAATGGGGAACCCCTGCTCTGTACTAAGCATGCAGACACTTCCTCTCCTGTCCTCATCCCAGGAGCACTGTGGTCCAGCAGTGACCTATGCAGTCGGGATATTCTATTAGGTCTATGTGTGAGGATGACTGGAAGGACACAGGAGGGCATGTGGGGGTCACACACCAGGTTATATAAAGACTTGAGTATCAGAGGGTTTGGATGTAAGCAAAGGAGTTCTTAGAAAATACCTCCAATGGAGACTGAGAGATAACTGCTCAGAAATGACGAGGATGGTCAATAGTGTTCTTGGTTTATCATATGAGTATATATATATATATATATATATATATATATATATATATATATGTGTGTGTGTGTGTGTGTGTGTGTGTGTGTGTGTGTGTGTGTGTGTGTGTGTATGCATACATTATGGAAACAGCAGGGAGGCTCAGGTCTGGCAGGAGGCATGAGGTTGGGGTGCTCAAACTTACAGCCTATGTCCTGCTTGTTGAAATACATTCTTGCAATCCAGTTACCCTGTTAGGCTCATGTACCCTCATAGGCTACATTTTACAAGCTGGGCACAATATACAGAGATGTGTTCCCTGGCCACCAGAGACTTACACCAGAGTTAGGCTGGAAATGTATCATCAACATTGATGAAGACATCAACAGACAGTCTCACACAGCGGGCAAGTGCTAGCTGAGATGTTATTATGAATATGAATGTGTTGAGAATATGAATGGCCACTGGATGACATACAGTGTATGTGTGTGCCTCTGCGTCAATGTCCATTTCTGTCTATGTGTGTATGTCTGGAATTGCATGTGTCAGTGTATCTGAGTGTGTGTGTGTGTGTGTGTGTGTGTGTGTTCTGTGTGTAAAAATTTGTCTCTTCATCACATCTATCTGTGATGTGCATGTTTGCTTGTGAGAATATATGTATATGCCTTGCTGTATCCATGTATGTATTTCTCTGAATATACAGTTTGTGTTCATGCAAGTATCTATCATATGGCTTTATCTCTGTGTATATCTGAGTTTACTTATGTCTGAATGTTTGTGTGTGTGTGTGTGTGTATGTTTCTAAATATGTTGAGTATAAATCAGGAAGGGTCTTCTAAAGGGACAACGTCCCTGGTCTTCTGAAAGAGCAGTTGGAAGAGGCTGGTAAAGGAGAGGACAAGAATAGACTGACTCTAGAGACCAGAGCAGCCAGAGTGAGCTGACTGTGGCTACAGGTGGTGATGTTGGAGTGTGGACTGTAGCAAGCACAGCATCGCAGAGTGAGTGACCTGGAGAAGCCTTTATGATAGGAGAATAAATGAGAGGCACTCTGGGCACGGTGGCTCACACCTTACTGCTTTTCCCTCTGAATGCTGGAAAATCATATACAAACCGGGTTACATTTCTCCAAACCAACACTGGGTTACTCCTTGTACAGCATGTGTGTGCTGTCCCTGTGCTTTAGTGTGGGCGTGCTGCTGCTTTCCCATGGGTTACCTGTGTCACATAAACTCTAGAGTCCCTGAGAACTGAGAGGATTGACAGGACCCTGAGTGAGGATGCCATTGCTCTGGACATTCAGCAGTCCTTACAGGGGCAGTACTAAAAGGGACAGAATGCAGTTCTGGGAGCGTTAAAGGAGACCTGTGCATACTGCATTGCTGGGAGGCAGAGCTAGTGATCTCTGGGTCATACCTGAGCAGATGACTCCAGCATCCTCATGGTGTCCACAGTTATGGGAGAGCCAGCCTCGGTGGGAGCAGCCCCACAGGTAGTACTCATGTCCTGTACAGGCCACATCATCCAGGACAATGGGCCCTGAGCCCTGTCCAAATGGGGCATTTCCAGGGGCAGACACGGCCCAGCCACAGCCCAGCTGCCTGCACACCACGTTGGCATCATTGGTGTCCCAGCCGTCATCACACACGGTGCCCCAGGAACCCTGGTAAAGGACCTCCACACGACCCTGACACCTGTCTCCTCCATTCACCAGCCTCAGAGCCAAAGGAGACTCTGTTCCTGGAAAGACATGGTGGATTCTCCTTTGTTATTCCCGGGGGAATGATGGCGCTTGTGTGATCACGGGCAGCTCTGTCACGGGGTTTAATGCAATATAGGACGTGAGTTCTCCCATTGTTGCTCCTCGGGTACCCTGTCTTAGAAAGACCTTCACCCTGTCACTCTGACTTCACATCCTCATGGAATGTTCACTACCTGTGTTCTAGACATTAAAGATGTGTCTGTCACCAGGAGGGCTATGTGTCTGCAGGGTTGACATGGGTAGAATCTGCCCTGGATAGTGGCCAGACACCTACTCCATCTTGTAACTAAGGCCTTTGAGAGCCATGCACTCTTCTGGATGACAACATCCACTGCAGAATGTGGGCTGTTTCAGGGAGAGAGAGCAAACAGAGCCCTCCAATTCCTAACACACAGACTGCACATGGGCACATCCACCCCACCCTGACCCTCACCCACCAGCAGTAAGGACAAGAAGAGGAGGTTGCTTTATAACAGACCAAAGGGATAGAATGATGAGCTCCCTGGCAGAGGAGAAAGAAGTCCAAGGGTCCCTGGGGAAGCCTCTCACCAGCTGCTTACCCAGACAAGTTGGAGAGTGTATATCAGAACTGCTTGTCAGACCCACTTGAAGGTATTAAACATGAGTACAAGCTATTGTTCACCCACTGAGCTGGGTCACATGACTACTTCCATGAGGCACAATCACAGCACACTAGAGAACCCAGGGCTTTGTCACTGCTGGTCACCAAGACTGCTGATGTGAACTTATCATCAATGTCAAGTTTTGGGTTTATTTCAGCCCAATACGTTTAAACAAAACAAAGATCCCCATGGTTTTGGCCTGGATAACGCCCCAAGCTCTCTAGACAGGGCACCCCTTTGAAGGTCAGCAGAATGGGATTCCATAATATATCATCAGTCTCATTTTAGCTCAGAAATCTCTCTAGAAGCTTGTCTATTCTAGACCCTCTATCCCCAAAGTTTCTTCTGACATAACACTAAATTTAGGGACCATAGTGTTTTGAAACCCACCCTCATACTGACATACTCCTCACACAGAGAAATGTGCAGTGATGGGGGTCCCAGTTGAGGAAAGCCTCCAAGATCAGGAGGCAAATCCACCTTCTCTAAGTTTTCACAACACATGTCCACCACCTCATCCTCTTAAGTGTCCAAAACATCACCACCCTGAATAACACTGGCATTACAACCTACAGCAAGGGATTTAAACAGCTTTTATTACCTATTGGTGGATAAGGCTCTGGAGTGGTGGTAGGCTCTGGAGTAGTGGTAGGCTCTGGGGTGGTATAAGGCTCTGGAGTGGTGGGCATTGCATGTCCATACGTAGATGAGAGAGAGAAATGGAAAATATAAAGTTAAGTCTCCATTGAGAAAAACCAAGACAAGCATGCACAGTTATATCTGCTGAGAGGATGTGATTCGGCGTCTGTACTGGGTAAGGCTATGTGACTTTAGATGTATAAGAAATCTATGTAGTCTTGAGTTCTCCCATTATAAAAGGCTATTTGTGTAGAGAATGTTCTTAACCTACAGATTCTAATTTTGCATCTAACTTCTGCTGAGCTCTAGGGAATCAATACAAAAGTACTTCCCATACTTACACAACTAATTAATTGTTCTTATCTAATTGCATTGGCTATTATGCACAATACAATATTCAAACAGAAGGCTGGAATGCCTGCTTGTTTTTGTATGTGAATATATATTTTAAATTCAATATGCCTGATATACACTAGGCTAGACTGAAATTCAAGATCCTCCTAACTCAGTTCCTGAGTGCTATAATTGTGTGTGTGTGTGTATGTGTGTGTGTGTGTGTGTGTGTGTGTGTGGCCATACCTAGCTCACCGTTTTTTACTTTAGTGGATTTGCTTTAAATATATCCCTTTAAAATAAGATATGAGCTTCAAACACATGTGTGTAAATTGTTTAAATGGGCCCTGTCCTTTGCTCAGGACACCTTTAAACCGTGACGTGGTCCTGCAGCTTAGAGTGGACATATCTGGAGATCAACCCACTGCTGCCGAACATCCAGCTTCATTCTGAGAAACCTTAATAACTCTCTGCTACGGAGGAAGTTCATAAAAGCAAATGTGGTGGAGATGAAATTACATCATTTCATGTATGATAAACAAGAGCTGGGCATGGCAGCACACTCCAGGAATCCCAGAACTCTGGAACTAGAGGTAAGAGGATCAGGAGTTCAAGGGTAGCCTTGCCTACTCAGCAAGTCTGTGTAGACCAGCCTGTGCTGCCTGGGCCTCAAAAATAAATAAATAAATAAATAAAATATGTACATTTTTTTCTGTTTTCTGAAGTCTTAACAAACTAGTGACAGTATATCCTCTTAATATTAAAGTCTTAGTAGTCTTGGGCCAAAGAGGAGTTTTATCAAAGTCTGGACGGTGACAGGATATCCTCAAATATCATCTGGAGAAGCACCAGTCCCTGAGCCACTCTGGGTCTCCAAGTCAGAATCTCTTGAGGGAAAGATGTGAGTCCCAAGACCCACACTCCGATATTTTATTTGATTCTGAGACACACTGAAATTCGAGGCAGGGGCAACATCCATGAAGACCGTGACTGTATTACCACATGAGCCTTGAAGCTCTAGCTGACAGAAGCTTATGTTGTCATTTTTTTTCCAGAGGGAGTGTTTTGAGACAGGGTTTCTCTGTGTAGCTTTGGATCTTGCTATCGAACTCATGTGGCAGACCAGGCTGGCCTCGAACTCACAGAGATCTGCCTGGCTCTGCCTCCCAAGTGCTGGGATAAAATCGTGCACCACCACCGCCCGGGTCAGCTTCTGTTGTCATTGAATGTCCAGACTGGACACAGATTATTCAGTGCAGCCTAGTATCATTCACATCCATTTAGTGAGGCAGTGGTTATTATGACATGTGGGACACTATAAAGTGATACCGGTCCATCCTTTTAAAGTACTTACCAGGTGTTGAATAGCTTGCTTGAGAAGCTATAAGGGAATAAAAGCAAATTCAGATTGTGTGTTTCACCCACAGGAATCCTGGAACACCCCTACCTGGGAAGCAGTAGCCCTGACTCTTATGCTTTGATCAACCAGGAACACCCGAGGTCAAGTTCACCAGCCCCTGAACAGAAAGTGTCTTTACGCTGCTATGTGGGCTCTCCAAAGCCAAAAATCTAGCATTGAGGTTCCATTTTCATTGGTCAAAAGAGCAAAACAGTCTTTGTAATATCAATCGGCACTCTGTGTCCATGGCGTCCTTCACTGATTACCCAGGTGGTGGATCAAAAATCGGGAGGAACTCCTGCTCTGTACCAAGCATGCAGACACCTCACCTCGTGTCCTCTTCCCAGGAGCACTGCGGTATAGGGATAACCTACACAACTGAGATATTCTATTAGGTCTGTGTCTGGGGATGAGTGGAAGGAAGGACACAGGAGGGCATGTGGGGGTCACACAACAGGCTATATAAAGACTTGAGGATCAGAGGGTTTGGGTATAAGTAAGGGAGTTCTTAGAAACAACCTTCTATGGAGACTGAGAGGTAACTGCTCAGCAATGTTGAAGATAGGGTCAATAGTGTTCCTGGGTTAGCTAGGAGTAAATGTATGTGTGTATGCATACATTATGGAAACAGCAGGGCTGTTCAGTCTGGCAGGAGGCAGGAGGTTGTGCTGCTCACACTTACAGCCTATGGCCTGCTTGTTGAAATACATTCTTGCGAGCCAGGTAACCTGTTAGGCTCTTGGTACATTTACCAAGCTGGGCACAATTTACACAGGTGTGTTCCCTGCCCACCAGAGACTTCCAGCATAGTAGGTCCCTGAAGACATCAACTGACAGTCTCGCACAGGGGGCAAGTGCTAGCTGAGATGTGATTATGAATATGAATGTGTTGAGAATATGAATGGCCACTGGATAACATACAGTGTATGTGTGTGCCTCTGCGTCAATGTCCATTTCTGTCTATGTGTGTATGTCTGGAATTGTATGTGTCAGTGTGTGTGTGTGTGTGTGTGTGTGTGTGTGTGTGTGTGTGTGTGTGTGTCTAAATTTGTTGAGTATAAATCAGGAAGGGACTTCTAAAGGGACAATGTCCCTGGTCTTCTGAAAGAGCAGTTAGAAGAGGCTGGTAAACAGAGGACAAGAATAGACTGGCTCTAGAGACCAGAGCAGCCAGAGTGAGCTGACTGTGGCTATAGGTGGTGCTGTTGGAGTGTGGACTGTAGCAAGCACAGCTTTGTAGAGTGAGTGACCTGCAGAACTCTTTATGATAGGAGAATAAATGAGAGGCACTCTGGGCACGGTGGCTCACACCTTACTGCTTTGCCCTCTGAACGACGGAAAATCATATACAAACCGGGTTACATTTCTCCAAACCAACACTGGGTTACTCCTTGTACAGCATGAGTGTGCTGACCCTGGTGCTTTAGTATGGGCTTAGTGCTGCTCTTCCATAGGTTACCTGTGTCACATAAACTCTAGAGTCCCTGAGAACTGAGAGGATTGACAGGACCCTGACTGAGGATGCCATTGCTCTGGACATTCAGCAGTCTTTACAGGGGCAGTACTAAAAGGGACAGAATGCAGTTCTGGGAGCGTTAAAGGAGACCTGTGCATACTGCATTGCTGGGAGGCAGAGCTAGTGATCTCTGGGTCATACCTGAGCAGATGACTCCAGCGTCCTCATGGTGTCCACAGTTATGGGAGAGCCAGCCTCGGTGGGAGCAGCCCCACAGGTAGTACTCATGTCCTGTACAGGCCACATCATCCAGGACAATGGGCCCTGAACCCTGTCCAAACGGGGCATTTCCAAGGGCAGACACGGCCCAGCCACAGCCCAGCTGCCTGCACACCACGTTGGCATCATTGGTGTCCCAGCCGTCATCACACACGGTGCCCCAGGAACCCTGGTAAAGGACCTCCACACGACCCTGACACCTGTCTCCTCCATTCACCAGCCTCACAGCCAAAGGAGACTCTGTTCCTGGAAAGACATGGTGGATTCTACTTAGTATTCCGGGGGGATGATGGAGCTTGTGTGATCACGGGCAGCTCTGTCACGGGGTTTAATGCAAAATAGGACGTGAGTTCTCCCATTGTTGCTCCTCGGGTACCCTGTCTTAGAAAGACCTTCACCCTGTCACTCTGACTTCACATCCTCATGGCATGTTCACTACCTGTGTTCTAGACATTAAAGATGTGTCTGTCAGCTACACAGAGAAACCCTGTCTCGAAAAACAAAAACAAAAAAAAAAAAAAATATGTGTCTGTCACCAGGAGGGCTATGTGTCTGCAGTGTTGATATGGGTAGAATCTGCCCTGGATGGTGGCCAGACACCTACTCCATCTTGTAACTAAGGCCTTTGAGAGCCATGCACTCTTCTGGATGACAACATCCACTGCAGAATGTGGGCTGTTTCAGGGAGAGAGAGCAAGCAGAATCCTCCAACGCCTAACACACAGACTGCACATGGGCACATCCACCCCACCCTGATCCTCACCCACCAGCAGTAAGGACAAGAAGAGGAGGTTGCTTTATAACAGACCAAACATATAGAATTATGAGCTCCCTGGCAGAGGAGAAAGAAGTCCATGGGTCCCTGGGGAAGCCTCTCACCAGCTGCTTACCCAGACAAGGTGGAGAGTGTATATCAGAACTGTTTTTCAGGCCCACTAGAAAGGTATTAAACATAAGTACAAGCTATTGTTCACCCATGAGCTGGGTCACATGACTGCCTCCATGAGCTCACTTTCTGTGTACAATAACAGCCCACTAGAGAACCCTGGGCTTTGTCAATGCTGGTCAGCAAGACTGATGATGTGAACTTATCACCAAAGTCAAGGTTTCGAGTACCCAACATGTTTAAACAATCAAAGGTCTGCATGGTTTTGGCTTGGACTAAGCCCCTAGCTCTCTAGACAGGGCACCTCCTTGAAGGGCCTTAGAATGTGATTCCGTAATATATCATAAGTCTCATTTTGCCTCAGAAACCTCTGTGGAAGCTTGTCTATTCAAGACCCCATAACCCCAGAGTTTCTTCTGACATAACACTAAATTTAGGGACTACAGAATTTTGAAACCATATATCAGGCTGACACACTCCACACAAAGAAATGGGCAGTGACAGCGATCCCAGTTGAGGAAAGTCGCCAAGATCAGGAGTCAAATTCACCCTCTCTAAGATTTCACAACACATGTCCACCACCTCATTCCATTAATTGTCCCAAAAATTCACCACCATGAATGACACTGGCATTACAATATACAGAGAGAGATTTAAACAGCTTTTGTTACCTATTGGTGAATAAGGCTCTGGAGTGGTGGTAGCCTCTGGAGTGGTGTACGGCTCTGGAGTGGTCTGCTCTGCACGTCCATACGTAGATGAGAGAGAGAAATGGAAAATATAAAGTTAAGTCTCCATTGAGAAAAACCAAGACAAGCAAGTACAATCAAATCTGCTGATGGCACGTGACTCAGGATCTGTACTGGGCAAGGCTATGTGACGTTAGATGCATAAGAAATCTATGTAGTCCTGAGTTCTCCCATTATAAAAGGCTATTTGTGTAGAGAATGTTCTTAACCTACAGATCCTAATTCTACATTTGAATTTTGCTGAGCTCTAGGGATTCAAACAAAAAATGTTTCCCATACGTACACAACTAATAATGTTCTTATCTAATTGCATTGGTTGATATGACCAATGAAATTTTCACTAACAGAGGATTGGAAAGCCTGTTTGTCTGTTTTTGTGTGTGAATATATTTATTAAATTAAATATGTATGTATGTACCCTAGAGTAGACTAAACCTCAAGACCCTCCTAACTCAGCCTCTTGAGTCTTAGAATTATGTCTGTGTGTGTGTGTGTGTGTGTGTGTGTTTGTGTGTGTATGTGAGTGTGTGTGTGTGTGTGTGTGTGCGTGTGTGTAACTAGCTTATTGTTTTTTATTTAGTGGAAATGCTTCTAACACGCCCCCTTAATATAAGATATGAGCTTCAAACATATATGTATAAATTGTTTGAAGTGGGCCCTGGCTCTTGCTCAGGGCACCTTCAAACGGTGACGTGATCCTGCAGCTTAGAGTGTACATATCTGGATATCAACCCACAGCTGCCCAACACCCAGCTTCATTCTGAGTAACCTTCATAGGTCTCTGCTATGGAGGAAGTTGACCTCTTCCCACACACTAGGTCCTGATGCAAACAGCCCTAGGAAAGTCCTCTCTTGCAGGATGGTGCCAAAGGCTAGTCCAGTCCTCTCTTGCCCTTCAATCTGACTGATACAGTTGCATCATAGTGCATATCAAGCCTAGAGGAGATACTGCTACCTAAGAGTGTCCTGCAGGGTCCCCAACACAGAGGAGAAAATGGATTTTCCTTGTAGAGTTGTTACAAATAGGAAAAGGTGGAATCTTGGGGAAAAAAAGTACAGCTAAGTCAGAATAAAGCCAGTCTTGTCCTTGACATAACCTCACATGCCTGACCTATGGGCCATTCGATTTCCAAGAAATTCTGGTATGGCCAGAGCCCTTGGCGTGGAGATTGTTCTTGCTGATGACCTAGAATCAAAAAATCCCATGCAGAAAGGAAGTGATTTCCCTTCCCAAGGCCTGAGCTGACAGAGTCTAAACTGTTCTGATATGCCACCAACATCTCTCACTGGAGGAAGTCGAAGAGGAAGAAGAGGATCTGTGATGTCCCAGGGCAGAGAATCAGGACGTCCATGGGAGCTTCCTATGACTTCAGAGGGAGGGAAATGACAAGGGTCCTGGCTAAGCAGACTTTGTCTTCCTCTCCAGGCACGGAAGCCAGAGAGTCAATTCCGAGGCTGGCCACGGTGCAGTGTGAAACATGGGGACCTCCGGGCACTGAGAATGGTCAACAGACCCCTAGAAACAAGACCACCTAAGATCCCCTTATATTATATCTCAGGGACATAATCCATGGCATATAGTTCCATGTAGGCTTGAGGCCTTATTGAGAAATTTCCCCTGAGAGCTTAGGACCCACATCCTCAGCCTTCTGCCCATCTTCTGAATCAGAGGTGATCCTGTGGGTTATGGGGGCAATACGGCCACAGACATAACACATAATACATGTTACCTTCTGTGGACACCATTGTAGTTTCTTCAGTTGGATAGATAACATCTGTGGAATGAGAAAAGAAGAAGTCATTGGAAGTTGGTCCTCACTTGAATCTCAGAGGCTGAAGCTGGCATCTCAAACCTAAAGGCCTTCTGTCACTGAAATGCTGGAATTTTCCCTGTAGAATCTGATATTGACCTTTCTGTTACTTTGCTGCTGAGATGTCACCTTGAGCATCCTTTGTCCCTCACTCTCATTCAGCTCCTCTGCTTCTATTCCATCCCAACCCCCACCCAGTTCACTAGCAGCCCCACCCTAGACACAAGATAGGAAATAGCCACATGACATTTGAATTCAATAGTCATTGGGCTGTTTCTGTAGTTCAAACACAACCTCTCGTTATAAACATTTGCCATCACTAAAATATTCCTGAGAAAGTGGCCCCAAACAGAAAGAGAGGGGACTTCCAGAGATTATTCCAGAATGGGCCTCTCCGGGTGCTGATACAGAATGGCCACAGCTGAGCTGCCGACAGATGACATCTGCATCCTGACTGTCCCAGCTGTCGTCACACACGGTGCCCCAGTAGTCTTGGTACAGGACCTCCGCCCGGCCCTGACACCGGTACCTGCCATTCACCAGCCTCAGAGGCAAAGCTGCCTTGACACAGTGGGAACTGCTCTCTTGGGATGTTGTGCCCTGTGCCAGCACAACCTTGGGACCCTTCTTCTTCTGACCTCCAGTGCTGTATTGCTTGTATTCCTCACCCTGGACCTTAAAAATGACCTTCTTCATAGTCTTCCCACTCTCCTAAACACCACATTCCCTGAAAACGTCCAGACAAGGGACCCTCATAATCACCTCTTCAGTTCTAATCTAGTCCTAACCATCCTAGTGCAGAATTCTAGACTCAACTTTCCATCAGCTTTCAGGATATCCATGACTACCATCCAAACTCAGTCTCCCTCCTCCATCAGGATCCAGGATGCCACCCTGCAATACCCTGTGCCAGTGTGCTGAGAAGGTGAACATCCAGTTTGATGTCTCCCTCTCCACCTCTCTGTGCAGCACTCACCAAGGCTGTCACACTAAGCTAGATGTCCATCATCCTGAACCCACCCTCCTCTGGGACCTCTCCAGTCAACTCTGCCTCTGCCCAGCTCTTATCTAATGCTTGCTGATCCGGGTCCCAGCCAGTCCTTCTGAAGGGCATGCTTCATGTCTATTGTTGTCCTGAGGTCTCATCTGTGTCTCATGGTTGCTCCTTGAGTTTCATCTTGACAAAGTACGTGTAAATTTTAGTCACTTCCATACCTAAAAGTCACCCAAAGTGCTTTAGCATTTGCCAGGAATGATGACATACACCTTTAATGCCTGTACTTGTGTAGCAGAACCAGGTACATTTCTGCAAGTTCAAGTTCAATGTGGTCTACATAAGTTGTAGTTCATCCAGGGCTACATGGTGTGAAACTGTCTCACAAGCACACACACACACACACACACACACACACACACACACACGTGTTTAGGCATCCTCTCCATCCTCATCAGGATCAAGGATGCAATGGTATTCATCAACTAGAAGTACTCCCTCTACAACTCTAGCCTGCTTTCCCGTTGTAACATTGAGCATGACTGGGAGTTTGCAGGCAACATGCTTCTGCATGGTGGGGTGCCCCAAGTCACTCACAGTGGAACTCTTGTGGGAGGAAACAGACAGCAGGTGAGTGCTGTCAGGCCCTCAGGAAAGAACTGCTTTAGCATCCTGACAGCAGGAGCTGGATCCTGGGTGTGGCTTTGCTGTGGCTACTCTGTGGTTATGAGTACTCTGTGGTATGACAGCGGTAGGTTGGAATAGATACAATGTGAAGGATCAGATGTGTGCTGATGTTTGAGATCAAACAGGGGTGGGGTGAGGATGGGCAAAAAAAACCCTGGGCATTCCAAGATATTCTCAAGAGCACTCTGAGTCTACATGAGCCCATCTTGCTGCCCTCTGCTGGTCACTCTGTGAATGTCCCACTAGAGAACTGCCAGCCTCAGGTTGGCCCTCCCTGGAGGTTGATCAGAAAGCTTCCCCTGAGTCCCTGCCAAGACATAGCTGCATCTCTCAAACCATGTACTGAAAAGGGAGTAATTGGCTTTAGCATGCCAGGGTCACAGTGACACAGTCAATTGTCCTCTATGGCCTCACCTATCAAACTCACACAAAAGTCTGCACACTCTCTATCCTGATTGGGCAAGAACTGGTAGATGGAAGCCTTCTGTTTGATGAATACCATTGCACCTTTGATCCTGATGAGGATGGAGAGGATGCTGAAACACCTGTGTGTGTGTGTGTGTGTGTGTGTGTGTGTGTGAGAGAGAGAGAGAGAGAGAGAGAGAGAGAGAGAGAGAGAGAGAGAGACAGAGAGAGACAGAGAGAGACAGAGAGAGACAGAGAGAGAGAGACAGAGAGAGAGAAAGAGAGGATATCACCACGTAGCTCGGGCTGAACTGGAATTCCTTATGTAGACAATATTGAACTTGAACTTTCAGGAAGCTACGTGGTTCTGTCTCTCAAGTGCTAGGATTAAAGGTGGATGCCATTATTACTGGAAAATGCTGAATCATTTTGGGCATGGAAGTGACTAAAATATATATGTACTTTGTCAAGATGAAATTCAAGGACCAACCAGGGGACAAACATTTGTCCTCAGGACAGCAATGGACATGCCTTGACTGGAAGGGGAAAAAAAGTCTGATATAGTTTATCCTGGGTTCAAATTCTACCTTCTCATTTTCAGTCTCAGAATCTTAGACATGCAAGTATTGACAAATTATCTAACTGTGTTTTAGTTTTCCCATCTGCAAAATGGGAATAATGATACCTCAAAACGTTGGGAAGGTTTCATGATAACAGCACATATTACCTGTATCAGCTGAGCATTGATTATGTGCAACATTTTTAAGTTTTGAAAGATTTGTTTTATTTTTAATTACGTGCATGTGTCTGTGTGTGGGTATGTGTACATTGGTACAGGTGCCCATAGAGGCAAGGAGAGGGTGTCAGAGCGCCTGGAGTTGGAGTTATAGGTGGTTATTAGCTGTCTAAACTGAGTGCTGAAAGCTGAACTCAGGTCTTCTGCAAGAACAATGTGTGTTCTTAATGCCTGAGCCATCTCTCCAGCCTCTTCTTTCAATACTGATGCATTCATTTCACACATGAAAATGATTTGGCTGGGGTACATAACAAGTTATCTAACTTTGATGATACTATTTACCTTTGCAAAGCCGGCTCAGATTGTACAGAGGAAGAAACAGTGACTGTTTCCACTAGCTTTTCTGACACTAGGCTAAAGTTAATTTCATCCATAGAGTGACTGGAGGGCAGAGAGAAGAAGGAAGGTGAGGGACAGGGATTGGTGGAGTGTGCCCGGCACCTTGACACCCACATCTCTCATCTCAATTCCATCCCTGACTTCTGTGCCCAAAGCTGCACCTGGATTCCACCAGACAGCAGCAGCAGGGCTGCCCATCCGTCCTGGTGAGCTGCATTCTCACCTTGGCACAGCTGAGGCATTTGAAGGAGTCTCAGTTGAGGATTTGATAAGATCGTGTTTGCTTATGGCCATGTCTGTGGGAAACGGTCTTGATGGAGAATTGATGGGAAAGGCCAGCCCACTGTCCTGGGCAAGGGAGCCTGTGCTGTATAAAAATGCAGCTAAGCATGAGCCAGAAAGCCAGTAAGCAGGGCTCCTGCATGGCCTCTGCATCAGTTCCTGCCTCCAGCTTCCTGCCTCCTGCTCCTGCAATGGCTTCACTGGATGATGGACTGTAACCTGTAAGCCAAATAAAACCTTCCGCCTCCAAGTAGCTTATGGCCTGTGTTTTATCACAGCAACAGAAAGCAAACTGGACCCCCGGCACACCAGTAGCCTAGAGCCAGAGACCAAGAGCAAAGGAGAAGGACTTACCATTCATTGTCGGGTCTTGGTTCCACCAACCTTAAGAAAGACCAAACTCAGTTTAGAAAAGGACTCACTATTTAGAAATGGTCTCATATCATTTACAAAATTAACCTCAGCTGCACTGTATACTCATGCTGGGATGGGGGGAATTCTGTGATTCTATCTTGGCTCCGTGCACTGCCCGAGCTCTTGATCAAAATTATTTTTTTTTGTAAAAGTAGATAAAAGCAAGTGGTATGGAGATGAAGTTACATCATTTTAGATATAATGAACAAGAGTTGGGCATGGCAGAACACTCCTGGAATTCCAGAACTCTGGAAATAGAGCTAAGAGGATCAGAAGTTCAAGGATGGGACTCAGATATTAATAAATAAATAAATATGTACGTATTTTTCTTGTTTTGTGAATTCTTAGCAAACTAATGGCCCCTTACTCTTGCTAATATTAAAGTCTTACTAGTCTTGGGCCAAGGAGGAGTTTTCTCAAAGTGTGGAGGGGTACAAGTTATCCTCACATATCATCTGCCAAAGCACAGGTCCCTGAACCACTCTGGGTCTCCAAGTCAGAATCTCTTGATGGAAGGATGTGAATTCCAAGACCCGCACTCAGATGTTCTTTTTAATTCGGACACACACTGAAATTCGAGGCAGGGGCAACATCAATGACGACTGTGACTGTATTACCACATGAGCCTTGATGCTTCAGCTGACAGAAGCTTCTATTGACTTTTTTTTGAGGAGAAGTGGTTTGAGACAGGGTTTCTCTGTGTAGTTTTGGAGCCTGTCCTGAAACTCATGTTGTAGACCAGGCTGGCCTCGAACTCACAAAGATCCACCTGGCTCTGCCTCCCGAGTGCTGGCATTAAAGGAGTGTGCTACCACTGCCCAGCTCAGCTTCCGTTTCATTACATGTCCAGATGGGACACAGATTATTCAATTCAGACTAGTCTCCTTCATATCCATTTAGTGAGGCAGTGGTTATTACGACATGTGGGACACTATAGTATAAACTGATACAGGTCCATCTTTTCAAAGTACTTACCAGGTGTGGGAGAGCTTGCTTGAGAAGCTGTAAGGGAATAAAAACAAATTCAGATTGTGTGTTTCACCCACAGGAATCCTGGAACACCCCTACCTGGGAAGCAATAGCCCTGACTCTTATGCATTGATCAACCAGAAACATCCGAAGTCAAGTTCACCAGCCCCTGAACAGAAAGCGTCTTCACTCTGCTATGTGGGCTCCCCAAAGCCAAAAATCTAGTACTGAGGTTTCATTTTCATTGGTCGAAAGAGCAAAACAGTCTTTGTAATATCAGTTGGCACTCTGTGTCCATGGTGTCCTTCACTGATTACACAGGCGGTGGATCAGAAAATGGGGGAACTCTGCTCTGTACTAAGTATGCAGATATTTCCCCTCCTGTCCTCATCCCAGGAACACTGTGGTCCTGCAGCAACCTACACAGCCAGGATATTCTATTAGGTCTATGTCTGGGATGACTGGAAGGACAAAGGAGGGCATGTGGGGGTCACACACCAGGTTATATAAAGACTTGAGGATCAGAGGGTTTGGTAATAAGCAAGGGAGTTCTTAGGAAAAAACTCCCATTGAGACTGAGAGATAACTGCTCAGGAATGGTGAGGATGTGGTCAATAGTGTTCCTGGTTTAGCATATGAGTACATATATGTGTGCCTATATGCATATATTATCGAAAGAGCAGGGCTGCTTAGGTCTTGCAGGAGGCATGAGGTTGGGATGCTCACACTTACAGACTATGTCCTGCTTGTTGAAATACATTCTTGTGAGCCAGGCAACCCTGTTAGGCTCTTGATACATGTATCAAGCTGGGCACAAATGAGAGATGTGTCCCTGACCTCCAGAGACTTCCAGCATAGTTAGGCCTCTGACAACATCAACAGTCTTTTACAGGGGGCAAGTGCTAGTTGAGATGTGCTTGAAGAATATGAATGGCCAACGGATGATATACAGTGTATATGTGTCTGTGTCAATGTCCATATCTGTCTCTATGTGTCTGTCTGGGATTGCATATGTCAGTGTGTGTATGTGTGTGTCTTTGTTAATGTCCTCGTCTGTCTCTATGTGTCTGTCTGGGATTGTATGTGTCTGTGTGTTTATATGTGTGTGTGTCTATTTTGTGTGCAAAAATTAGTCTTTGTGTCACATATGTCTATAATATGCATATTTGCTTGTGAGAATATATATGTGTGTGTTTTTGTGCCCATGTATATATCTCTCTGTATGTTTCTATTCAAGCAAGAACCTATGTATGTATGGTTTTTAACTCTCTGTATGTCTGTGTGTGTGTGTGTGTGTGTGTGTGTGCGCGCGCGCGCGTATGTGTTTCTAATTATGTTGAGTATAAATTAGGAAGAGTCTTCTTAAGGGACAATGTCCCTGGTCTTTAGAAAGAGCAGTTGGAAGAGGCTGGTAAAGGAGAGGACAAGAATAGACTGGCTCTAGACAGAGCAGCCAGAGTGAGCTGAGTGTGCCTACAGGTGGCGCTGTTGGAGTGTGGACTGTAGCAAGCACAGCTTTGTAGCGTGACCTGCAGAACCCTTTATGATAAGGAGAGTAAATGGAACCAGGAGGCATGCTGGACACAGTGGCTCACAGCTGTAATCCCAGTACTGTGGGGTGGAGGCTGGAGAATCACTCCTTGAAGGCCAGCAGCCGTTGTTATAGAGATAGACATGTCCCCGTGAGATAAGCAATGTAGAAAACAGCAAACAACATGGAGGAACTGAAATACATGGAGATGTCAGCATGAGGGGCTGAGACATAAAGAAAGACACAGGAGACAGCGTGGGACATTAAGGAGGCAGCCTGCAGGCTTGGAGTCAGTACCATGGTGCAACCTCAGACTCTCCATGTTCAATAGCATTCAGCAGTGAGGTTCTGTATGCCCAGTGGTCTGTTCACACCACCATTCATAGACAAGCCTTGTCAGCCTTGAATGTGCAGAGACCAAAGATGATTACAGAGGTAACATGTCTGGTGAAAACCCCGAAGAGTTGAGTAGGAGGCGTCTTCTCAGAACCATAGCGCTAACAGCAAAGGCATGACTCCAAAAGTGAACAGGATAACAGGGCACTCTAAACCTAGGTGTTGAGACTCACCCGAGCTAGGTGTGGAATGCACACCTGTGTGAAGTAGAAGGACAGGTAGACACAAAGTGCTCAGTAGTTCACCAAGATCCCAAAAAGGACAGACTCAGCATTTTTACAAACCTAGTCAAGGCTGGTATTGAAGGGTGGGTGCTTCCTGAAGAATCCATGAATTATGCAGTTGTTCATGGAGGTCTACCATGGACTACACTACCGCAGATGGGACCTGGGTTTTGCATTTACTAACTGCAAGAAAGAAAGTCGTGACCACATCTGGGACAGAACACCAAAGGCTCTGCTTTGTGATGTAGGTAATCAGTCAAAGGTACACTCAGCAATGACTTGTTGAAGACCTAAAGATCCACCTCACAGTATTAGGATTCTGTAGGTCTCTAGCAATGCTCCATGCTCCCCTGCTCCAATCCTTCTTTCCAAGTGGCTTTGGGAGCATACTGCTTATGGTCAACCTGCTACACCCACACCCTCAACATTCATTTATAATTTTCCCCTGTGGTCATGATTGGGCTATTTAACACAAATCTGTGAGAACTCTGAAATTAGTACAGCCAGGAGAGAGGGAAGGAGTTACTGACCCTTTCCCTAAAGAGTCTTCTGCAGAATTTCTGAGAAGGATGCTGAGAAACACTGGGAGAAAAGAGCTTTTCACTGCTACTAGTTCCTTACTGATTTGCCCTCTGAACACTGGAAAATCATACACAAACCGGGTGACATTTCTCCAAACCAACACTGGGTTACTCCTTGTACAGCATGTGTGTGCTGACCCTGGAGCTTTAGTGTGGGCTTGCTGCTGCTCCTCCATGGGTTACCTGGCTCACATAAGCTCTAAAGTCCCTGGAGAACTGAGAGGATTGACAGGACCCTGACTGAGAATGTCATTGCTCTGGACATTCAGCAGTCCTTACATGGACAGTACAAAAGGGACAGAATGCAGTTCTGGGAGCATTAAAAGAGACCTGTGCATACTGCATTGCTGGGAGGCAGAGCTAGTGATCTCTGGGTCATACCTGAGCAGATGACTCCAGCGTCCTCATGGTGTCCACAGTTATGGGAGAGCCAGCCTCGGTGGGAGCAGCCCCACAGGTAGTACTCATGTCCTGTACAGGCCACATCATCCAGGACAATGGGCCCTGAGCCCTGTCCAAATGGAGCATTTCCAGGGGCAGACACGGCCCAGCCACAGCCCAGCTGCCTGCACACCACGTTGGCATCATTGGTGTCCCAGCCGTCATCACACACGGTGCCCCAGGAACCCTGGTAAAGGACCTCCACACGACCCTGACACCTGTCTCCTCCATTCACCAGCCTCACAGCCAAAGGAGACTCTGTTCCTGGAAAGACATGGTGGATTCTCCTTTGTTATTCCCGGGGGGATGATGGCGCTTGTGTGATCACGGGCAGCTCTGTCACGGGGTTTAATGCAATATAGGACGTGAGTTCTCCCATTGTTGCTCCTCGGGTACCCTGTCTTAGAAAGACCTTCACCCTGTCACTCTGACTTCACATCCTCATGGCATGTTCACTACCTGTGTTCTAGACATTAAAGATGTGTCTGTCACCAGGAGGGCTATGTGTCTGCAGTGTTGATATGGGTAGAATCTGCCCTGGATAGTGGCCAGACACCTACTCCATCTTGTAACTAAGGCCTTTGAGAGCCATGCACTCTTCTGGATGACAACATCCACTGCAGAATGTGGGCTGTTTTGAGGAGAGAGAGCAAGCAGAGCCCTCCAACTCCTAACACACAGACTGCACATGGGCACATCCACCCCACCCTGACCCTCACCCACCAGCAGTAAGGACAAGAAGAGGAGGTTGCTTTATAACAGACCAAAGGGATAGAATGATGAGCTCCCTGGCAGAGGAGAAAGAAGTCCATGGGTCCCTGGGGAAGCCTCTCACCAGCTGCTCACCCAGACAAGGTGGAGAGTGTATATCAGAACTGCTTTTCAGGCCCACTAGAAAGGTATTAAACATAAGTACAAGCTATTGTTCACCCACTGGGTCACATGACCGCCCCCATGAGCTCACTTTCTGTGTACAATAACAGCCCACTAGAGAACTCCGGGCTTTGTCAATGCTGGTCACCAAGACTGCTGAAGTGAACTCATCACCAAAGTCAGGGTTTCGAGGACCCAACATGTTTAAACAAGACAAAGACCTGCATGGTTTTGGCCTGGACTAAGCCCCTTGCTCTCTAGATAGGGAGCCTCCTTGAAGGGCCTCAGAATGGGATCTCATAATATATCATCAGTCTCATTTTGCCTAAGAATCCTCTCTGGATCTTTGTGTATACTACACCCCCTAATCCTAAAGTTTCTTCTGACATAACACTAAATTTAGGGACCATAGAGTTTTGAAACCCACCTCCATGCTGACATACTCCTCACACAGAGAAAAGGGCAGTGAAGGCGGGCCCAGTGAAGGAAAGCCCCCTTGATCATGAGGCAAATCCCACCTTCTCTAAGTTTTCACAACACACGTCCACCACCTCATTCTCTTAAGTGTCTCAAGAAAAGTCACCACCATGAATGACACTGGCATTACAACATACACAGAGAGATTTAAACAACTTTGTTACCTATTGGTGAATAAGGCTCTGGAGTGGTATAAGGCTCTGGAGTGGTGTAAGGCTCTGGAGTGGTCTGCTCTGCACGTCCATACATAGATGAGAGAGAGAAATGGAAAATATAAAGTTAAGTCTCCATTGAGAAAAACCAAGACATGCATGTACAGTTAAATCTGCTGTCGGGATGTGATTCAGGGTCTGTACTGGGCAATGCTGTGTGACTTTAGTTGCATAAGAAATCTATGTAGTCTTTAGTTCTCCCATTATAAAAGGCTATTTGTGAAAGCTTCTTCACTCTGCTCTGTGGGCTCCCCCAAAGCCAAAAATCTAGCATTGAGCTTCCATTTTCACTGGTCAAAAGAGCATAACAGTCTTTGTAATACCAATCAGCACTCTGTGTCCATGGCGTCCTTCACTGATTACAGGCGGTGGATCAGAAAATGGGAACCCCTGCTCTGTACTAAGCATACAGACACTTCCTCTCCTGTCCTCATTCCAGGAACACTGTGGTTCAGCAGTGACCTACACAGTGGAGATATTCTATTAGGTCTATGTCTGAGGATGACTGGAAGGACAAAGGAGGGCATGTGGGGGTCACACACCAGGTTATATAAAGACTTGAGGATCAGAGGGTTTGGTAATAAGCAAGGGAGTTCTTAGGAAAAAACTCCATTGAGACTGAGAGATAACTGTCAGGAATGGTGAGGATGTGGTCAATAGTGTTCCTGGTTTAGCATATGAGTACATATATGTGTGTCTATATGCATATATTATCGAAAGAGCAGGGCTGCTTAGGCCTTGCAGGAGGCATGAGGTTGGGATGCTCACACTTACAGACTATATCCTGCTTGTTGAAATACATTCTTGTGAGCCAGGCACCCTGTTAGGCTCTTGGTACATGTATCAAGCTGGGCATAAATGAGAGATGTGTCCCTGACCTCCAGAGACTTCCAGCATAGTTAGGCCTTTGACATCATCAACAGACAGTCTTTTACAGGGGGCAAGTGCTAGTTGAGATGTGCCTGAAAAATATAAATGGCTACTGAATAACATACAGTATATGTGTGTGTGTGTGTGTGTGTCAATGTCCATATCTGTCTCTATGTGTCTGTCTGGGATTGTATCTGTCAGTGTGTCTGTGTGTGTGTGTGTGTGTGTGTGTGTGTGTGTGTGTGTCTGTTTTGTGGGTAACTATTTGTATCTGTGTCATAGCTGTCTGCGATGTGCATATTTGCATGTAGGAATATATTTATATGTGTTTCTGTGTTCACGTATGTAGCTCTCTGTATGTTTGTGTTCATGCAAGTATCTATATATGTATGACTTTATCTCTGTGTATCTGTGTGTGTGTTTGTGTGTGTGTTTGTGTGTGTGTCTGTGCATGTGTGTGCTTCTAAATGTGTTGAGTATAAATCAGGAAGGGTCTTCTAAAAGGACAATGACCCTGGACTTTAGAAAGAGCAGTTAGCACAAACAGGTAAAGGAGAGGACAAAAACAGACTGGCTCTAGAGACCAGAGCAGCCAGCGTGAGCTGAGTGTAGCTACAGGTGGCACTGTTGGAGTGTGGACTGTAGCAAGCACAGCTTTGTAGAGTGACCTGCAGAACCCTTTATGATAAAGAGAGTAAATGGAACCAGGAGGCACTCTGGGCATAGTGGCTCACAGCTGCAATCCCAGTACTTGTGGGGCTGAGGCTGGAGAATCACTCCTTGAAGGCCAGCAGCCGTTGTTATAGAGATAGGCATGTCTCCATGAGATAAGCAATGTAGAAAACAGCAAACAACATGGAGGAACTGAAATACATGGAGATGTCAGCATGAGGGGCAGAGACACAAAGAAAGACACAGGAGACAGCGTGAGACTGTGAGGAGACACCCTGAAGGCTTGCATCCGGTACCAGGGTGGATCCTCAGGCCCTCCATGTTCAGTAGCATTCAACAGTGGGGTTCTGTAATGCCCAGTGGTATGTCCATACAGCCATGATGAAACTGAAAAGGGATAGCTGTGACATCTCGGGGCCCTTTTTGTCAGACTCAGAGCAGCCTCCCTAGTCCCAGACCATTTGCAGCGCCTGGAAGCCCTGGTTCCAATTTCCCCTGCCTTTCCAAGGAGTAGGGCATAGTTTCAATTACACTGTGGAATGGCTAGGTACAAAGAAGGAATCTGCCTGGAATGTGTTCCTAAGCAGCTCCCTCATTCTGTAAACCATTGGCTGTGAAGAAATGGGAACAAGGGACGTGACATTAAAAAGGGTTTTGTTCGTTTGTGGTTTTGTTTTTTAGCTAATTTTAGATTTAAAAGAACACAGCAAAAATCCCACAGAGTTGCCACAGGCCACTTACTCTCTCCCTCTGCCCAACGATAGCACCCTGCATCTCCCCATGCATTTGTCACAACTGACACCCTAATGCGGTGCCCTCCTTGTGACTCCTGGCTGGCCTTATGTGGATTATTCCCAAGTCTCCTCTTCTGGGAGACATTTCACGATCCATACTACCCTAAAGAAGCCACATTAGCACACAATGTTAGGGAACTGTCTAAAATAGGACACGGGCTGTCCTGAGGCTTACTCTATGTGATAGTCCTACCTGGGTGACCTCGTACTTTGACAACCCTTTGTAGAACAGAGAACATCGCCCCATTTGCGAATGAGTAAACTGAGGTCTATGGCAGGAGTTAGGTTGTGGCACCACTGCTGGCCCAATGGTGTTCTCGGCTCGGCCACTGAGCAGCAGAGGTACCACAGACTCTCCCCTGCCCAGCACGAGCCGTGCAGCTGACTTTGTACAAAGACAGCACTGAGAGCACCCATGCAGCAGATGTGCCCCCTTCTGCTCCCTGCATGGGGAAGCCATGGCTTAACCCGCCATAGCCGCTACTTCACTGCCAATAGACCCTACCCCGGGTTCAAATTCTGGCCCAGTTGCCAGATAGCCGCTCTCCTGGGCCTTAGAGTCCCCCAGCTGAACTATGGAGGTGATGAAGCCTAACTTTGAGGTGTCTTGTCACCAGGCTTGAATTGGAGAAGCTCATGTGGAAGCGGGTCAGCTTCCCTCTGTGTGCTGAAGCCATAAGCTTACATGAATATGCAGGCAGGCGTGCATGCATGCATGCACATGTGCATGGCTGTATATGTAGCATCATGTTAAAATGACAGCTCCCTCGGCCCCATAGTGCTACTGCCTGTGTTTCTTTGTGGATAGGACAAGGCAATTGATTATCTGCCCTCCGGGACTGTGGCCATTCCAGGTCACTGGGCAAGGACAGAGCAAGTCTGTCACCCTGAAAGCTGTTCCCACCTCCCATTTCACACTCTCCAAGAAGACAGCCTGTCTAGTCCTAGGCTGCCTCAGTCTAGATCGCCTTGGTCAGGATTTGGTCTTGGGATGATGTTCTCATGAAAACCATCCCCCACATGAGTCTTTGTCTTCAGCAGGCCCTCACCCAGCCTGGAGAGGGTGGTCGTTATGGAATTCATCTGGATAGCTAGCAAAAATATGAAATCTAGTCAAAAGTGACACCAAAGAAGGAAAAAAAAGACAGGGTATGTGAAGAAGAAATGAAGGAAGGAAGGGAAGGGGGGAGGGAAGACAGAAGAGAGGAGACAAAGGAGGGAAGACCTGTGAGGAGATGAAGAGATAAGATATCCAGGAATGGGAATATCCAGGTAGGGGAGGAGAGAGAGACAGAAACAGAGAGAAGGAAAGAGAGAGGGCAGAGACAGACAGATAGACAGACAGAGACAGAGAGAGAGAGACAGACAGAGAGAGAGAGAGAGAGAGAGAGAGAGAGAGAGAGAGAGAGAGAGAGAGAGAGAGCAGGTCGACAGGCTTATCTTCTGTAAGATGACACAGATTCAACCATGCCAAGGACTGGCCAGGTAAGTCTTCCTTGCTCATAATTTGACACTCTGAGAACGTGAAACCATGTTGGAGTGACTGAGCTGCAAGTAAGTGACAGGCACGGTGACACCATCCTGTCTGTCAGTCACTTGACCCAGCTTTGCTCAGCAAACATTGGTCACAGAGCCAGACGTATAAGGCACATGCAGAACACTGCTAGAGGATCGTCACTGTCCATTTTCACAGCACCCACCTGTGTGTCTAGCGAGGTCTAAGGCCTCTTTCTAATGCCCATGAGCCTTTCCTATCCTGGAGACCTCTCAGCACAGTCAATCATTCCCTTCCTTGAACGACTCCCTGAAAACATTATCAGAATGGCTGCTTTTTCTCACTGCCACCATGTGTACCTCTCGGGCAGAAACAGAGCATTCCTTCTACACACTTCCAAGTATTTACAATTATTAGTAAATAACTTCCTTGAGAAGGACAGTCACGGGTCCATGAACAAATTCATCTAACCTGGCAGGACCTATGTCAGTGACTCAGAGAAGCCTCCCCAATTCCAGCACTACTTGTAGTACCTAGAAGAGCACAATTCATGAACATAAAAAATGAGATAAAATACCTGTAGAAAGAATTTGGCCCCATAAGAGACATATTTGGATGATGACCGTGGAGATCCCCATTGTGCAGGTTCCTCTCAATTTGAGTAGAAATTCCTTGACATTTATAAGTTCCTGGGTGGAAGGAGGTGTGCCCTCCTGGGTGGTATATTTCTATTGCTGCTATAAATCGATATGAAGGAAGTGAGGAACTTTGTTAACTGCCTGACTAATCCGTGGGAACAAGGTTAGGTGTGTTTGATTGATTGTGGTATGAACGATCTGGCTATTGCCCAATGCAGAGGGCCTGACTTCAGTGATAAAACTTCCTTCTAGGTGAGCATTGAAGACTCCCAATGGCTCCTTGAAAATGGCCTTGATTTTCATCTTGGAGAGTCTTAAGGAAATTATGGGGAACAGGATGTGGTCTGTTGGGCAAATAAGAGACATGGTGCCAAGGGGAAGGCATGTGTTTGGGATGGTTTATACTGGCAGGTGTCCTCCTAGTTGGCTCTTGTGGCCATCACCAAGGCTCAGAGGACTGAGAATGCCCTTGCTTACTGACTAAAGAGTGGAAGGCATGAGGGAGTGTTCCACGCAGACCACGCACCCGTACTAGCTTCCACCAGATGGGCCACCAACATCTGAGTCTCACCCATGCCAGAGCCCAAGAGCTGAGAAATGCATGGCTTCAAACTTAACCACTCCCAACCATTTCACCAGCCTTGATTTCTTGTCCTCAGCAATCACACTGTGTGATGCTTGGTACTTAGCAAAGGTACACAACTTGTCCCTTATTTCTGCCTGTCTTACATTCAATCTCCTTCTTCGGGTTTGTGATGTAAATGCCCCCACACTCTTTAGGACACTCCACTCTGCATCCCAGGTTTCTGATAGACCCTCACACTCTGAGAAGGTTGCTCGATATTTGTAAGATACTCTCTGTGGTGGAAAGTGCTGGTGAGAAGCAGCCAGCCCGCCAGAATTGCCTGTTTTCCGGCCTGGTGAGTAGGGCCTTGCCTCATAAGACCCTAGGGCACTTGGCTCCTTCACCTTGCACTGTTAACCCGTGGTCTCTGCACTTGATTCTAGTGGGGTGCTGTGAAGTCACCTTTAAGGGATGAGAGTATGCCTCTAATTTCATCCAAAGGCAAGCCACATTCCAGGCTTGACTTCTGTGCTCATCAGGGTCTTCAGACAGTGGGGACAGCTGTTTTAGGGAGGTCCTCACAAGGATAGCACCATTGCCCATGACAGACTTTGAAATCAAACTCACCATAGGACAATCAGATTGTTGGAAGTTCAACTGCACTAATATAATTACACTGCTCAGGTACTCTTGGTATACCAGGAAATTTTAGTCATTGACAATGGAAGTATATTTTGGCTTTAGAATGAGTCTGTGTGAGAGACTAAATTATATCCCAATAGTTTGTTTGGGAGCAAAGAATAAGAACAAGGAAACTGAATGGCATCCAAGGGGAACTCTTACCCAGATAAAGGAGACTGTCATGGACCTCTTCAGGCAATTTCTGCACAAAGAAACTGTTCTGGGTACCTCTAAGTGCTTGGTGCCACAGCTGCCCCTTCAAATCATGGACATAAGGCTCCAGGTAAGTTGGAGACATGGGAGAATTGACTAGGCCACCTCCAAGCCAGAACATGCATGAGTATGGTCACAGCCTGTTCAGCTCATCTAAGGATTCCTGTTGAATTCCAGTTGGGTCAGAGAGTGGCATTCGTTGGCCTTTGGGCAGAAGTAAGAGGTAGGCCCATTTCCTCCATCCGAAGGCACACAAGGAACCTTGTCACTGTGCCAGATTTGCTTTACTTCTGGGGACACAGAAGGAGAAATGGCCCTGAACTCCATGGACCAGGCAGCTAGTGACCACAGGAAACTCCATGGATGACAGTTATGTTGGGGAAACAGGCACATGGGAAACTCGGGAGCCCAGAATGGTCCCCGGCTGGGCTTTGAGTCATTGACACCAACTAAAGGTGCCACCTGTATGGCAGGGACTCAGAATGAAGGTGGGAGTTTGGAGAGCAAGTGTTCCCTGGACCATGTTCCTTCCCTCAGCTCTTCCTCTTCATGACAGTCCATCTAGTCTGCAGCTTCAGTGACAGTCAATACACCACAGACCCCAAAATCTCTCCTCCAGCCCTGCTCTCAAGTCCTTTGGAACCCACAGGCTACCTCCTCCCTATGAAAACTGTCCTGCAGATGTGGCCAGAAGTCAAGGACCAGAGTCTAAGGTAGACTGGAGCTCCAACAGCCAGTGACAGCTAGGACTGGGCTACGCAGAAGGGGCCCATACCTTCTCAACTGTGACGACTTCTAGGAGAGTGGAGAAATGAATACCTGCTGATTTGTCTGGAAGGTGGAAACAGAATGTTTGGAAATGTAGTGGAAAATAATACAAGTGGAACTGGGAGAAGAAGGAGCTGATGAAGGGGTGGGTTCAGAGGTACAAGGGAAATAAAGTGAGGTATGGGGCCTTCTCTAGCTACACAGTGAAGCCAAGGAAGAAAAGGCAGGGGTCTGGACCAAGATGGGCACTGGTCCAG